GCGTTCCCAATGAGGAAATTATATTGCTATTATAAAAACAAATAGATTTTCTGAAGCAAAATCTAAATAATGGGCCTTCACGATGCGAGGAACTTGGAATAAAATATTTTTGGAACCTTCTAGTCTTTCCAGATTGACTATAACACATAAATATCATATGGCCCTTGAGAGACAAGTGATTTCAGTATGTAAGTAAGTAGGTAGGATGGAATCGGTTTACGATATCTCCAGACTGCTGGCATATCTGCCAATAAGACAGTGACCAGTTGGCACTCCTACTAGAGTAGCCTCTCATTCGAGACTTAGCTATGTCTGTAACATGTTTGTCGATTAAATATCGAAAGGTAGCCAGAGGCATATACATTCACTCTTTATATATACAATATATCATTGCGTACCGGAACCCATTGCAAATATATCGTAAAAAGAAATTAAAATCAACTAAGAGATCAAGGCATAATATCACTATCTTTGGCAAAACCCTAAGAGACTTTAGTGATTTCTAAGCCACTTGGCTATCTGAATATATTATGTTACTATATTCCTTGTCAGAAAAAGAGCGCTTAATTAAAATTTAATTGCTGTGATCTCAGCAGTGGTCTGGTAGTCGTAAGGCGATTTTGGTATCCAATTTTGCTGAAAAAATTTCACTCCCCACTCGATTATCCAGTTTGGACCCGTATGCATAGATACTTATCCCTGTGTCTTTGTCCACCTAATTTCTATACCTCTCTTCTCTCGCAGTGAAGACAATATTGGGGACCGAATTTAATTTTTATTGTAGAAGATTACGAAAACCCGTGGTATTGGGTAGAAACAGGAATTTGCCTTATTAAAGATGACTAATAGGGAGGATTGCTACAGTCTAAGAGTTGACTTCACTGCCTGTTGCTTACAGAACAAATCTGTGGGCAGTAAATGTAAAATAACGTTTAGTGCCTGACTTATCGTTCTTCTAAGAGCTTCACCAATGCATATACCAGTTGCTCTTTCTATGCCATTCGCCTTACCGCGTATTTCTTTTCTACTATTGGCCACCAGACCAATATACTGTGTGTCATAATTGTTAGAGGCGTTAATCCTCATTTGGGCCCATCATTCTTTTATAGGTATAAAGTGCTGTCGCTGCTTTATTTACCCTAACACCTAAGTTTGGTTTCCATTCAATATGTGCCTTCTCCAATAAATTTTGATTATTTTTTGTACTCTCGTGTACAATGTTGCACAGAGTAAATTCAAATCGAAAATTTCCCAACAAAAAGGTCTCACGAGTATATTCGCACAATAATTTTCTTTCCAAATGTTGAGCGTTAAAAATTCAGTCACTATTAAAATTACAAGTGATTATAAACTCTTCATATGAACCACCCTTTACTTACCTGCATATTCATGTAGTTACTTGCGTAAAGAGCCATGGCAACAGTTCAAGCCCATTGGGTATCGATCGCCGCTTGAGGCTTCGCATTTTTCACATTTGACATACAATTAAACGCTTTTTTATAATCATTGGGTATCGTTTAACTCAACATTCTATTGGTGGTGTATAAAAATAAGTGCATTTTTGCATTTTTCAATTTATTTGAACACCGACGAATTGGTTTCTGATGACGCTACCAAAGGAAAAATATGTTTATATATAATTGCTTTGACTGAGAAGCTACTAAAAGACTATACCCATTTATACTGAAAGCACTTTTTAAATTATATTCAGTTATTAAAATATATATGTTGCATTGAAAACAAAAACAAGTAGATTTGGAAGAGGACCAATGTGTATTAGAAAAACTTCCCAATTCGTCGGTTAAAGTATGTAGTCAGTCTAAGTGTATTGTATATATTAACATTTTTTTATTAAAACAGACTTTAAAAATTTAAAATAATCAAAACAATGCCAAAAGAAAAAAACACGACATCACAAGAATTTTATCCACGTTTATGAGACCTTGCCATACTTGTCGTAGGGAAATGCTTCTACCTGATACTAGGCATTGGGCTTTTCTACGATTTATTTATGAGGTATCGATTGAAGTAGATTGCTTCTGTAGCTTTTCAACTTGGACAAGGACTTTCTATTCATCTGTTACTGCTTTAACGTGTTCCGGGATGGAAATCTTGTATCTTATAAAGAGACGGGATTCATAAAATATTTAAAGGAAAGGGAGAGATTTGAACTAATTTAATTAGTTTTTAGTTCCGAATTATGATACCTTATTGTTACTGATCGAAATTTACGATACAAAGTCAACAGATCTCGGTATATAATGTTTGGATTGTTAGTGAAAGCTATAGACGATTTTATTTAATTTTAGCTACCAAATGGCGATATGATAAGTGGAACATTTTTACGTACTTTGATTATTAAGTTACATATGGAATGAAATTTGTTGGGGAGTTGCATAGCAACCGCAAAGTTTTATGTCTTTTATTAGTGCCATCTAATGTGGTATTTGTTATCTTTTGTAAATCACGAAGCGGAATGTATACGTTTTTGTGGATCGATTTGAGACATTTTTAAACTCTGCTTTCACTGCTCATAGGAATATAACTTAGCTCATGGGTTTACAATTATCCTACTTAAAGCAGGTCTGAACAATATTTTGGGGAATTGGACGTTTATATTATTACCCGATTTTCCCACAAGCGGTAGCGAATGCAAGTGCCATTCATTAAGCCCTGTATGTTGAGGCATGTGTATCTATATTAAGTAAGAAAAGTTATTAGAGAGCCGCCACGACCAGTTATTTTTTTATTTTTATTTATTTTAAAACCACTTTTGATCCGCTACTCCGCTCTTCCGAAAGCATGTGGTGTCTAGCTGGATTTGTGATAGAAAATGGTATAATACGTACAGAACCGTTTTAGGCCAGCCGTCAGCAGTCAAATTCCGCTCATTTAAGTACCGATCTTCTCCGCGCCTATGTTTTTTAACGGGACTGGATCAAAATAAATATTGAGCTTAATGCTAATTAGTAATCTGAAAATTTGTACACGTCTTTTTCTCAACAAGAAACTGCTCATTTGTCGGTATCGCCGATATCGGAAAACTATAGCATATAGCTACCATACAAACTGATCCATCAAACTCAAGTCCTTATATGGACAACTTTTTTATTAGACAAAATATCTTCAGGAGATGTAACACAAATTATTATTAGAAGCATCGCTACTGGCTCCGAACAAATTTATCTTCATCAAATTTGACCCAGATTAGTATACATGGCTTTCCTACAGGCTCCGTAGCAATTGCTTAGAATTGTTTATAAATATCTTTTTATATCTTTCTATGCAATTAAAAATCCCTATAAAAAGTAATATCGGTGCAGCCGAAACTAAATTTTCTCTTGTTTCTATTTGACTTGACTTTTCTCGAAATTTAGCGCGCTCATGTACACTTATGTCACAAAAAAGTCATAACGTTAAATAATAAAATTGGACAGAATATTAACATCACATTTCATGACATAAAACATTAATGAACACATAATTTTCTATGGCATTAAACACATAGACACAGATAATTTTTAGTATTTATTAGACGGTACTACTTCTCTATTAATCTTATACAAGGTATTTGGAAAGTTCACAGGGAAACTAATTTTTTATTTGTTAAGCTAAATGAATTATTGGCAATAAAAGTTACATAAAACCACAAATTACCAAAAAAGCTTTTGCAAAACCCCGCGCCATATCACACCGAATACAATCGATAACGAGCTTAGCATTTTCCATTTAATTTTGCATTTGAAAAACATTTTTAAAATTAATAACTAAAAAGCGCTTACGTAAGACCGTTATAATGTGAATTATTAAATACTCGAAACTTAATAAATGCCAAAAAAAAAGACAAAAAATATAGAAAAATAATGAAATAAATGTATACATTTGTAATATTTGTAATAATGAAGTTTGGGCAGAAATCAGATTGGCGGTTAAAAAGTCTGCGCATGCGCACCGCTAACCAGCACAGTACACGTCAGCCGCGCACAAGCGCATCTCAGCTCATTCGAAATTATATCACAGAAAAGTACTTGTAATAACTTGTACGACGCTGCAATAAAACGATCGCATTGCCAATTCACATAAATTAGTTGTGTGTAGATCATGCGGCGATTGCTGCGCACCAAAAAGACGGCGCGCCAATCGTTGCCACTGCCACTGTCGCTGCCGCCGATGGTCTCGCCTTGCCATTTGCCGACGCCATCGGTGCCGCCAGCGCTGATAATGCTAATAAAGCGATTGCTGCAGGAATATGCGCGCTTGGCTGCTGGTGTTTTTGTTGCTCTTGCTGTTGTTGTTGTTGATTTTATTGTTGCTGCTGTAAAGTTGTGTGTGCTGTATATCACTTGTTCTTGCCACAGCTAATTTTGCATCGGAACTGCTTCATTCAGTAGTTCGCATCGCACATACACATCCAAGTACATGCGCCAAACACTTGTGTTGTTGTTTTGTGTGTGAATGTGCGCTCATCAGCTTCACAGCGCATTCTGCATGTTCTCACACAAGCGCAGTGCACCTGAGAGGTGTGTTGTTTGCTATCACGTTTTATTTGTTGTTGTTGTTGCTTTTTCAATTCTGTTCTCCTTTTTTGTGTTTGATGGGCGCATGCGCAACGCCCATTTGCATTTCAATTATGAAATGTTGCGCATACGACACGCCGCACGAAAGCCATGCGTCGCTCGCCGGTGGATCGGTGGCAGCGCTGCGCTGCTTGCAGCTCTGCAGTTTGCTCTGGTGATGTGCTCTCGCTAGCAACAACAACAACAGCGCGGCTATTAACTGGTTGTTGCAGATTCTGTTACTGACTCACAGGTGCTATTGTTGTTGCGCTTCGCATCACCGTTGATGATGCGGATGCTCTTTCAGCTCTAGCTCTAGCTTTGCGATGCATTCTGCAACTCACTGTTGCTGTTGTTGCTAGTGTCGACTTGCCGTTATTCTTCTCTCACCACCGCCGTTGTTATATTTATGCCTTGTTGTTGTTGCATTTGGCTTGACATAGTGCACAAATTGCATTGCGGCAAATGCAATTGTCGACTGGCAAGCTGTGTCGCTCCGATCGCGGCACAAAAGTATAAAAGCATTTGATTTTATTTGGTTAGCCACAACAGTTTTTTGACGAGCCTTCAAGTGAAGACGATCTCAATTTTTAAGCGCGAGCAAGTGTCGTATACGGTTTAGCCAAGAAAAGCTGCACGAGTTCTAGAAATCTAATAAAAACGCTCCTTGAAGTAATAAAGGTTCAGTAGCAAAGGAATACATATTTGTGTGTGTTTGTGTGTGCGTGTGCCCACATCCTTGGAGATGTTTACATTTTGACTTTGTCAATGAAACGAGGATATTTTATGGATTCGTTATTATATAATATTCTCAAAACTCTAACTAAATGTTGTGTATATAAATATTAGAAAATTTCGAAAAAAATTCAGAATTTTATTTTTGAAAGTGAAAGTTTGGTATTTACAAAATTCTAGAAGTAAATTAGAGCTGTTCTGAAGAACAGACCACCCGAAATAGAAAAAATAACCTTTTCTCAAAATACATAAAAAATATTTCCCGCTCATGACCATCGAATAATGATTTAAATCGATATTTGTTTCATCAATACATAGATCTCTAATATAGATTACTATTTATAAATATATTTTATATTTAATATATATTTGTTTTACAATGATTGTTTTATGTAACTTTTTAATGAATTTCTAAAAAGAAAGTATTTTCATAAGGAGTTTCAACTGAAATACAAAATTCGTAACCAACAAAAAATCTCAAATTTAGTGCTTGACTGGTTCTTCGAAAGGATTTGCCCGCCAAAATACTTTATTTTTAACAACAATGATACTTGATTTATATCTGGCATTGCTAGTATATTATAAATCAAAATACGTGTGTAAGAGAGTTCGTTAAATTTAAGTTAAATAACTTCTTAATGAGAATACATTTGAAATTATGAAGTAAATTTCGCAATAAATAATACAAATTGGTTAGTGGGTGAAAAGGGTCTGCCTTACCTCAAGCAGCCGCTCTTACGTCATCACTGCTTATAACGAAAATTAGTTCCGGTTTTACATTTTTGCGGTTAGAATAGTGCAATATTCGTTTTTACCGACATTTCTATTGAAAAGATAATTTATTTCATTAAAATATTTGGAGCTGATGCATAGAAATCTATAAAAAAATAATAGAATATAATTTTCGAATATTTTGTTTAAAGCTTAGGTAAACAATTACCACATCCAAAAAAATTAATTAACAAAGCGGTTTGTGAAAAAATTATTAGTTCATTTGGAATTGCCACTAAGTTTGTTTTTGTTGAAAACCACATTTTTACTTCTTATAATTTTTTAAATTTGAATTGAACATTTTTTGTTTGCATTTTCTATATCAAAAAGGCTTCTAAGAAAATTTAACAGTTATTTGGAAGCGCCTTTGTAAGTTTTAGGACCCCGTTATGGAACAAACATTTCACTAACCGGAACTTACCGAAGACAGACTCTACTAAAATACACAACAACAAGTATTTGCAATCGGAGTATTTACAAACAGAAATGAAGGTCAGCACAAAAATTTGGCACAGTTCTTCTTAATTGCGTTTAGTTCAACCATAAATTTGAAGTAATGAGTAATAGGTACACATTAGCCCTATTTAAAAACTTCAATACAGGGTAAAGGTATTCGAAAACATATTTATTTTATGTAAATAGAAGGTTTTGTAATTATTATAGTGACGAATATAAAACTAAAAACACCTTGTGCTTTATTAAAATAATATGCCCTTTCAAATGAAAATAATAAAAAAAAATATTTTGTTCGAATTCGATATAAAATAATCGTATCTTGCCAATTCAGTGTTTTATGCTAAGCTAAGTTTTTTATGAAAATGAAAAATACTACATAAATTAGTGTTGTTCCTTTGAGATAGTGAAGAATATATTACTAATCTTTTTGGCTCAATATTTTTTATTTTATTTCTTTAATATTCCTTCCTGATTCTTAACTCTTATATTTAAATAACTTGCTCAAATACTTGGGAAAAAAATTTAAAAAAAAGTTAAAATTTATGTTTTGAATGTTTTCAGGAATTATCTAAATTAGCTAAATAAATATAATGGTAATTAATCTAAAAGGACAAAAAAATATGATTTGTGATATTTCTAAAATTATATCTGACTCAGAGTTGTTATTAAGCATTTATAATTCGGCTAAACAATGGCACAAGCTTTATCACACAAATAAGTGCAAAAATACTGCGACAGCAAAATCCAGTTCGGTCCTTTCTTTCTAAACAAAGAAAGTCTTCCTTTTCTCGTTTTGACACGGAACAAAAGGCTCTGACATAATCGTTGCACATAGATTTAAAAATTTTTATTTTATATATTTATAACAAATAATTAAACGCCTGTTATAAGAAAATAAATAATTGTATAACTCAAAAATCAATATCTTCAAAATCTGTAAAAACAATTTCTGCAATTTCATAGTTATATAACTGAAAATAGTTATACAATATAATAAATTATACTCCTCTGCTGGTGAAGCGCGACAGTCTTATATCCATCAAGAGCTTTAAATTTATTTTCCACACCTTTAAGTTGTAACTATAAGGGGCGAAAAATTAAAAAAAATAAATTACCTATAAATAATGTAATTTGACGCATTGAATAACTATGAAAATATGTAAATTAAATTAACAAAATTGCTGTTAAGAGCACGCTTCGGGCAATCAATATGCCAACACACGCCCACGGCCTTAGCACGTTGCCTAGCTCTGTGCTCCATTGCACCGTGTAATGCAACAAAAACTGTATATATAGATAAAATTACACACACATACATATAATTTTACCTAGCCGAGGTTGTAGCGCAACAGAAAATTTACTCCACTTGCAATTTGCAACGCATGAAACTCTGTGCGTAAATTCTCAAAAAATGCTAAAAAAAAACGTTACCTAATTGTTATGCAGCTTATACAGTTAAGGTGCAAATTTCATAATTTGTAGTTTTTAATTTGGTTTTCCACATACCGGATTTGCAGATCATGAAGACATCATTCCTGTTGTTCGCTGCCACCGTTTTGGCAACACTCGCATTCATTGGCAGTGTTGATGCACAACGCGGTTTGCCGCTACCACAGGCGCGCGGTTACGAAGCTAACGCCGTCATTCTGAAGCAGGGCTTCGATCTGAATCCCGATGGCTCTTACACATACAAGTAAGTCGAAGATGTTGCTTAGAACACTCGTAAATGTTGAGTGTAACTCGAAACAAAAAACATCGAACTATAAAAAGTAGTAAAAAATATTTAATAACCGTTTGATCAACATAACGGTTACTTGCAATCGTTAATTTAAATTGTTTAACGACCACTTTGACAGGTTAATTGATCTCATTGGTGTAAGCGTCTAGCTTTGACTATATAAATAACTGTATATATAATAATTAATGGATTAATTAATTTATATATATTCGTTCTTCTTTCTCACACGCAGCTATGAGACAAGTAACGGCATACGCGCGGACGAGGCGGGCTACTTGAAGAATCCGGGTACACAAGTGGAAGCGCAGGTGAGTCATTGCTAGGGTGCTCAGTTTGCATTTGAATTTGCATAATTCGGCAATAAATTGGTTGCGCATGAGCAGTGCGCACATTATTTGGTCTTTAGCTCACTTTTAGGGGCAGAATACTAGTGTTTTGAGACGATTATGTATTAAAGATGCGTGTGTATGCTTTTAGGCATCAAGTAGCCAGAAAACTGATTTGTAGAAATTTAAATTTGAAGCGTATTAAATTATGTGCTTTTAAAAGACAAATAGCGCATTACCAAACATTTTATTTCCACAATTTTTCATTTAAGTTTCTTCAACATAAATTTATTGAAACATAAACAGGTGACAACCCTCCACAAAATAGTTTGATACTCCAAATATTTCTAATACTCCAATTATTTCCTTACTAATTTTGAACCCACCTCAAAAAAAATTTTGTACTGTAAACTTTCTAAACCATTTTAACTAGGCTCATAATTATTTTACTTTAAAGTACAAAACAAAGTAACAGCCTACTCTTTTTGCCGTTCGTCGACCAAGTATTACTCCAAAATTCGGTTTGAAATGCTGATTGTTAACGCGTTTCTGAAAGTTTTATTTCCTGATACAAGAAGCTTCATTAGCAGGATTGACTTGTTCTACTATAATATCTTCGGTCATTGAATTATTTTTAAATTTAGTTGGCAACTTCTGGACAAAAACTCGTATATTTACTTAGTATCTTAAACATTTCATTGCAAATAATTCTGTTCAATATTTTTCAAGATCTGTAATTTTCACCAACACTCCGTATTCTCTCTCTCTCTCTTTCTTTCTTTTTATCAGGTGATGCAAGGATCTTACTCATACACTGGTCCGGATGGCATCACCTACACAATCACTTACATCGCCGATGAGAATGGTTATCGCGCTGAGGGTGCACACATACCAACACCACCCCCACCACGCGCTGGTGGCAGGTTCTTCAAATAAATTCACACAGATTTTTGAATCAATCCCTAAATCAATAACATCATTACTTACATACATACGTACGAGTTCATACAAGTAAGACGTGATCAATGCTAATTAACGTGATATTTTGCAACAACCACAATGATACAACTCACAGCCTTAAAACACACTTAACTTAACTTAAAACCAGAAGCAACAACACATCGTACATGAATAACGAAGAACAAGAAAAAGGCGAAAAATCCTAGAAACAGCAAGAAACAAACGGCAAACTGTGGCAACGTCGAGCAGCCGAGCTTAGCTATAAACGAGGCTAATAATAAGCTTACACCTACATACAAGTATATACAACTAATATCGGGAACGAGGACATATAGGCCTATTATTGTTGTTGAGATCTATTAAGACGACCTCGTGTGCAGAACTTTTCATATGACCGCCCACACATTATCTTCTTACAAACATGCACACACGGATATATCTTTACTCATTTATTTTTTCACACTTTTTCTATATTTATCTAACAAGTTAACCGGTAGTTTATTGATAATTAATCTATAACATGGTTTGTGCTCTCTAATCCCTTCTTAAACTTTTCTAACCTCACTTTTGTACTTTCACCTTATTTCTTATGTCCACATTCCGTCCTTACGCGCGCTACCAACTACCAATGTAGCGGTGTTCGTTGGCAACCTCCATATATTTTCCACTTAACCCTTGAGCGCCAACGCACGCTGTTCCATCATGAAAGTTAAAATACCTACTCATGTACCTTATCTCCAGAAACATACATACATACATAACGATTATATGTTTGGTAATTTAAATGCTATTTTATATATATTTTTTTGTTGTAGTATTTAAGCAATTTATGTATTTTGAATATTTACGAATATTTGCTAAAACCGTGAGTGATTACAACAAATTTTCGATTTCTTGTAAGTACAGCAATCAGGCAATAAATAAATTGCGTAAAAACTCAGTAACTTGGCTTTTTAATACATATAGACACATAGACACCATATATATAGACACTCACGCCTAACCAGGCAAATATAACACCGCAGCACCAGCTACTTTAAAACTACTTTCTCAGGGTTAAAGTTGAGGCGCGCCGCGAGAGATTGCGTGGTATTTGCGTGGGTGGACGTGGACTTGTTGCTTTACTTTTTGGGGCACTACTGGAGCGTGGTGTAATGCTGCGCATTGAAAAGCCAAGACTGCTCTTCGTGCTACTAACATTTGGCAGCGCGAGCGGTGAAGTAGTTTTCAATGGATGTGCGCGACGACGACGCATTAGCTCCTCATAGATCGGATCCTCTTCGAAGATCACCAACAAATGCAATTTACGCGAATAGTTATTCATAAAGTTCATCATCTTTGTTATTGTTTCGGTTTTGTAGTCGGTTTTTATCTTCGAGTTCATTTCTTGAAGGCGAAATAAACGTCCGCTACAGTGCGTGTGACTACCGACAATGCCGTCAACGAAGTTCAGTTTAGATGCGACTTTCATGACTAACGTGATGGTGCCGTCCGGTGCGAGCACATCTTCGGGTTGTATGATGTGTCGTATGCGCAGTCGCTGCAGCTCGTACTTCATCACGCGCAAATTGTGATTGATGTAAGCGGCAGCACGCTTCTCCGGCACAAATACCGCGGCGAGCGGATCAAGTGGTTTCTCCAGTGACTGCCCGAACTTGCGATAGGCGAATATGGTCGTGACCAGTACCGTGCCGAGTGCCATAATACCCATTAGCGAATAGAGTATTTGCCAGAGTAAGACATTGGTGGCCGATTCGATGGAGTAGCGTGGCGCGCGTTCCACATAATCATTGACAATATCCAGGAAGAGCGCATGACAGTCGCTAACCGATAAACGATTCGGATGTATGCTGATTGGTATCTTTTGGTTGAGCAACGATGTCTGGCGATTGGGAAAAATAAAATTCTTTAGTGTCGTCCAGAAGGCAGGTCCACGTCTCTTCTGCAAAATCAATTCAGTACAGTGTTGGGTGGCCTGACGAAACCAGGTGACACATGTTGTACTCAGATCGAGGTCTGGGTGTAGAGCTCTGCAAAAGTGTTCCATAAATGAGACTGGCGTGAACTGCAACCGGACACATGTTGTGAAAAGGTGATAACGGTATAAATTAAATAGTTTGAGATTGAAGAGGTTGTGAGCTCGCTGTCTACTTACATTTTCTGTATGTGAATTTTTGTTTATTTCCCTATACATTGCCCATTTGACAAGTTGTTAAAAAAATATAATTCTATACCACTATGACATTTTCGATAGAATGCATAGACAGTTTACTGAACAGTTGCCACAAAAGTATACTTTCGAAAATTCCAACAAGTTTTTCGTAAATTATGTACCGTCGAATTACTTTCGGAGGAACTGAAAATATCAGATACAGAAAAGAGATAAATAGTTTTCATAAACATATTTTCTGAACAGGGTAATAGTAAGTCTGCAACGAAATTTTTAATACCCAAAAGAAAATATCAGAGACCATATGAAGTATACCATTTATATGTATATGTAACTGTTCAGCATGATGAGCTCAGTCGATTCTTCTATGCCCGTTTGTACATACGTCCCTCTAGTTTTTAAGATAGGGATCTGAAATTTCGCACACTTCCTTTTCTCTTCAAGCAGTTGCTCATTTATGGGAACCACCAATATCGGGCCACTACAGCATATAGCTGACATTCAAACTGGCCAACTAAAAACAAGATTTTGATATGAAATAAAGTGTCTAGCAAAACGTTTTCCTTCGTATGCCAACCATTGACCGGTTACGTTTTCATATTTTATTGTGTTATAAGAAATCTACATGTGAATGGTATTATAGCTTCGGTGTAGCCGAAATTAAATTTTTTTCTTGTTTCTTCTGAACTGTGAAGCTTAGGGTTACGGGAAAATATAATATATTCCAAAGGCATTCTTTTTCTCTACTAAATTACTTAAATTTAAATGAAAACTGACCACTACATATGAAACACATAAAGTCAGAACCAATATCGCCAATTTTAGGTAGCAAAATCATCAAATTTTAATAAAATGTCTCTGCTGGTGTCGTCTTAAGTCAAATGGAAAAGAGTTACTTAAAGTCCATAGGAGGCATTGACCATGTGTGATCCTTGTCCATGTGAGTATCTGTCTCATAACCTAACCTTAGATAATCTATTGCTCACACGGACAGACAGATTACAAGGGATAAATTCCGAAATATATTCGTGAGGTAATTCTTAAAATTTTGCTAAGTTGAGATTGTAAAAATTACTTTATAGAAATTATGCAAAAATGTTTTTCATTCCTACAGCGTTCCAGATTTATCAGGCCTCTGAATAATACTTGTACACTCAATAAGCTTACAAACAAGTCTTAACTTATGGCGTTATTATAGTTCAAAATATGAAGAAAAGCTTTTTAGAAGTCGCAATAGTCTAATATGGGCATGTGCTTCGTGCATATGAGAGGATATGAGACATGCTCAGTGTGTAAGTGTGCCGACGATAACCTGCATATAGTCAACCTTTGCTAAGAGATTAATTTTTAAATCAAATTAGTAAGATAAGTTTTGAAGCCTTTAGGTGACAAATCTGTCACCTTCAAATAATATTTCCAAGGGAGTAAAAAAAAAAGTGTTTGTTCATGTTGTGTTTGTAAACAAAATAAAATTCAGGCATAACCACTGATTGCTTTTTATTTAAAAAAGTTGAATTTATTTGCATACATTACTGTGCAATGAGTACGAAATATTAGCTAATATGAAACAGGTTTTCGTTTTTTGTTTTCGGGTTTTGAAATAAATTTTTTAAGAGAATCACATACAAAAAGAGAAAAATATATTTATTTCTACTCTCGCAACATGTTGCTACAGAGCATAATAGTTTTGTTCATCTTACGGTTGTGCGTATCACCTAAATCTAATCGAGATAGATTTGGAGTTATAACTATAAATGATCAGGATGGCGAGACGAGTTGAATTCCGAGTGACTTTCTGCCTATCCGTCTGTACAAGCGATAACTTGAGTAAATATGGAGATACATTAATGAAACTTTGTACACGTTTTGCTTGGCAGAAAAGTGTTCGTAGATGGGGGAAATCGTACCACTACCACGCCCACAAAACTCTATTAATCGAAAATTTATAAATTGCCATAACTAAGCTGCAAATAAAATCTTGCGACAGACCTACAATGGGTTTTTTAAAAACTACTAAAACTGAGATAAATCAATAACGAACTGCGTCAGAGACATTAAATTTTACACCCGTTATGGCAAAAAAGGGCTTTATAGGAGCATATTTCAATATTGGACAATAGGCGTGGCACCGCCCACAATTAGGGGAATACACCCCGAACTTACTCCACCAATTTGATTTTTTCACTTTCCAGTATACCAATCAATAACTAATTAATATATCGGGATATACATTTTAATGAAAATTTCCTTTAAGTTATGCCATATCAGGTCTAAAATGATCGAAATTATAATTATTCAAGAGTCCAGATACCGGAAATGTGGACCCGAGAGCGCATGGCGGACTTTTTCTCGAAAATATCGGTCAATCTGTGAGATATTTAATTGAAAAATTCGGAAAAAAAAATTTTTGTGAATAATATATCTCAAAAATGGGTTGAATCGGATTGGGAAGTATTAATCCCCCCATATACCTAATAAAAATACTTTCGAACTTTTAGTTGACTTTATACCACAAATATCAGCCTGGTGCTGGTTATTTTAATGAAATTGAGAAAGAGTGTTGTTCTGATAACAGTATATCATTGTGCCTAAAATAGATAAAATCAGGCGAAAACTTGCCTTAGCCCCCATATAACCAATATTTACGATTTTGAAATGTACGGCTGACTTTACTCCACATATATGTTTATATTTATATATTTATAAAATTTCTTGAAAATATGTCAAAAATTAATGCAATCAGCACTTCCATTTTTAGGCCCCCAATTTTTTAGCATAATTTTCGCCGACGGGAAGTAAAATATAGTAATACACTAAGTGAGTCTTTGATCTTCGAAATAACTTAATATGATACCAAATTTGATTGTAATTTACACATTTCTTATTATAAAGTTTTGCCAACACCTGAAGTAATTTCCCCGGCTCTGATCCTTGCAAGTTGCAGAGTAGAAAATATTCGGTTACACTCGAACTTAGACCTTCCTTACTTATTGTATTTGTTTACTTTGCGAATAATTTTTTTTTTTTATCTATTTTATCGGTATCGTGTTATTATAAATGGTTTATGCGTCGTAAATTTCTATGTACTCATTAAAAAGATCAATTAAACTCATAAGGTGTAATAGTCTATTTATAAGTCTCATATTTTACTGCACTGCCATATATCAATCATAAAATAATAATTTCTTAATTCTGAATGCAAAAAATTGTTTTCTTACTTCATGGCCGTGAGAGAACCTGATTAATAAGAATTAGACACTTTTAACTGTCAACAAATAGCCGAAGAAATGGAAAAACCCCAAAATATTCAATACTTTTTAAATTTATTACTCAATTACAGTTTAATAAATAGATTTGTAACCGTTTATATTGTGCGGTTATCTCAATGCGGAAAACAATAAAATAGTTTGGGACATTTCTGCCCAATATCACGGATTTTAGAAATCCTTTAGGATTAAACATAAATTATTCCACTTCCAAATTAGATAATCGAGTAGGAGGTGGTGTCAAGAAGTAGAAGAAGGAGAGACTATAGAACACATCTAGCGAATGCAAGGCTTTGTATATATACAATATATCAGATATCTACCCTACCTTAATACCTAAGAGCATTCGTGTGTGTGTTATCAGCCAATAGATTTTAAATATTTTCAATATGCATACATATTAAATGTCAACAATTTACTACCGGGAGACCCTTTATTATGTTTTTAAGTTATAATAATTTATTTATGTAAATAATTTTTTATTTTTTATTGGTTATAACGTCCATATTTATATTTCTTTGATCACGTTTTTGTTTATTATGTGCTTCAGCTGTCTTCTATCGCATTTATTTTTCGTATAAATGGGCAACTACTCTAATTGGCCTTACTAGTATTCAAAAGCCACTTGTAAAGTTCTGTTTGCTGCGCAAATTAATAACTCCTTCTTTGTACATATAAAAATGAAGTACTTTTCGTGTGTTTTATTAACGATTATGATTATGTCATTAATCCAGCAATTTGTTTGTTTGCCACTCGGTGACAGCGAGTACCTCGGCATCGGTATCGCAGATTTTAACGAGAACGTGGAGCATTCGAATGTCGGTCCTCGGGTGCGACGTCAGCATTATTCGCGTTCATATCCTGGTGGTTACATAGCTGGCGGCACATACATGATCCCTGGTGGTGTGGCGAGTTATGCGCATAGCGCACACAGAAGTCCGGTTCCGGCTTCATTGAATTTTGATTATGACCTGGACTATTAAGCGATAATCGTATTTCTCTCTTCAAAAATCAGTATTCTTATATAACCTTAAATTATACATATATCTACACTTGGACTTAAATTTGTATACTAAATAGTGTATATGAAATTAAAAAATGAGCAAATTAAATCCGAATTTGTTTTAATTATGTGTCAGTATGAAAATATTTTGATGAAAAATTACGTTTTTAGCCTTAAATAAATAATTTTTAAGATCGCAAATATGAGACTCTATTTCGAAAAGAAGAATTTATAAAAAAGAAGCCTTTTGAAGTTAAAAAAATATGTCATAATAGCATTCTAAGTCTATCTAGCTTTTCCGTGACTCAGTTACGGCTCTCTAAGCTTCTAAGTCAGAAAAATCTCTTGGTAATCCATGATCTATATATGTATATACCATTTAGCTGCGAGCAAAAGCAACTGACCGACCAAATATACTTGTATGTCCTTTAACGAAATCTCTTTTATTTGACCAAATATCATCACGAAATGGTATTATAGCTTCAGTGCAGCCGAAGCTGGCGATTTTTGTTTGTTTTTTGTATTGTGAAGACATTTATCCAAGAATTAATATAAATAATTATTGTTCCAAAAATATATTATTAATATAAATAAGCGGCAGGATTCCCAGCGAAGGTAAGTTATATTTGTTTGTTTCAATTTAATTTCTACTAGTTGGCATACTGCAAGCCAACTCTTGTATTTTCCTATTGGTATTTTCAAACGATTGTATAATATATTTTCTTAATTCAGTTTGAGTTATCGCAAGCGTACTGTATTTCCATGCAGCCAAAAATTAATATAATTGTTACATAATTTTAGGCGTATTTTATAAATTTTTAATGTATTCATACAGGCTCCTAAAATTTTAATTGCCTAGTAGGTACTCGCAGAAGCAGATTGGATACCTTTGATGTCACTCTGCAAATTTTTTTTTATATACATTCTTAATAGTGTAAATACGATCTTGGCAGTGTATCTATAATGCCCTTATCCTAATAAGCAAGTGAGAAACGGCTAATTTCGGGTGCAATTCCAAAGCTGGTTTTCATAATAAAGCTTTGTTTAGCGATGGCGCAGACTTTTGGTAGAAAAGGTACGCTAAATAAACAAAATTTTTGCATTTGGAGTGATGATAATCCACTAACTTTTGAAGAGACGCCGTTACATCCTCAAAAACTCAATTTTTGGTGTGCTCTATGGGAAGAGAAAATTATCAGTCCAATTTTTTTTTTCAAAATTGAAGGCGGCCATAATTTTACAGTCAATGGAGAACGCTATAGAATGATGATCAATAATTTTTTCGTGGATGCATTATCTCGCGTCGGGGACCTGTGGCATGGCCTCTAAGATCGTGCGCTTTAACCCAGCTGATTTTATGCGGTTATGTAAGGCCGAGACGATTAATGTCTTGAAAGAGAATAATCGGCGCGTTATTTCTGAAATAAGGCCCCAATTGCTGCAAAAAGTGGTCGAAATTCGCGACTCTTGGCTGGAGTTTATTCGACCCAGTCGGGATGGTTACTTGTCCGAAGTTATTTTTACAACATAATGGCATACCGTTATTTTTATAATAAAGCTAAGGTCTTGGCCATAACATTAAACTATATGCGTTTTACATCGTTTTGAAAACCACATGTCTAAAAAAACACCCTTTTATTAGAGGTTTAAGGTTTAGAGTAAGGTCTATGCCGATTTCATTCATGTTTACCGCCAAACCTAATTTGTACAATAAACAAAACATGTCCACTTATTCCGATATATACGGTGTAAGACTAATCAAAAGTTTGAAATTCTTATATTGTTATACGGGGCTATGGGTAGTATTAACCCAATTTTTTCATTTATGGTATTATAATGTATTATTATTATTAAAAACAAAGGATTACGAGCTATTAAGAAACCTCACAGATTGACCGATATATACATAAAAAAGAAGTAGGCGTGATAATATTGGAATGTCAGGATAATGTGTTCCAACGAGTTTGAATTGGTCGAATACATCGACATTAAACCTATTAAAGTCGGGACGTCCCCCACTTCTTAAAAAATTTCCTTGTGCCAAATAACAAATTTGTATCTTAATTTTGAGCGTAGTTATTATTTTTTTTGTTTTATAAAGACGGGAGGGTCTGTCTCAGCGATAAGGGTACAATGTGGGATCAATCTTCCCACTAATTTTTAATTTGGACTGTGCTAAATAAAAAAATGCAAGTATATAAAAACCCTTTTATTGGCTTTGACATAATATAGAATGAAAAGTCGGTAACGAGGTGAACATCCAGAGTTTGAAATAGATTCTGCGTTAAAATTATACACTTTAGTTTTTGCCACAACGAATTCGAAGATGCTACGTGGAGTTGTATGAATAAAGCAACAACCTCCTGGAACGCAAAATTTCAACTTTCATTGACTTCACTTGGTGTTTCGAAGATACCTTGACAGTTGTGACTTGAGCAAATTTTCTTCAATGAAATAGGGAGAATATTGGCTAAAAGAATGAACCTGCAATACTTTTAATGATGAGAATGTATAAATTCAATATTCTTATATATACCTATCAAAAATGTAGCAGCGATGTTTTCTTATCGCCAGCTATTAACTAAATTTTGTGTAATCTATAATTCGTAAACCGAAAAATATTATATCATCTTATAGAGTTATTACTAACATTAATATAATATCATATAATCAATATAACCACGAAATTCCTTGGATCCAGTTATAGCGGATAAAGATGGGAAAGAAATAATTGTAAGTACCTTAACTCGATCAACGAAAACAATATATTCTTTACCACATTAACAACAATTTACATAAAATGTTAAATGGAGTAAACAGCACAGCTCTTATTTCATTTAGATAACAAAATAATCATAAAAAAACTTCATACACATTGCAAAGCGTATTTCCAACAACAATTTAACACAAATACATATATATATATAAACTTATGCACTACAACGTTTTACAAATTATAAACTATCTAACCTAAAAGCCCCAGTATACTAGCCAGACCGCCAGCTGCTCCTGCTCCGCCTGCGCCACTAGCACCCCCACCTGACAGTAATGGACGTAAACTGGAACCCAATGCCTGGCCCAACTGATTGGCTAGTTGTGCCTGTGAAGCCGATGAACCTCCACCAGTGCTGCCGCTTAGTAAGGATCCTAATCCACCTGCATTTGTGCTGGACGACGTGGATGCACTTGGGGTATTAACTATACTGCCACCATTAGAGGCATAGCTGGGACGTTGGTAGCCAGCGTATGGATTGTAACCACCATATGTGGGATAATATGGACGTGGCCGATATAAATATGGACCATAACCCGAAAATAAACCCGGATAGCCTCCATAGAAGGGGTAGCCGCCATAACCGCCATAACCACCGTAGCCGGGATAGCCGCCGCCGTAAATGGGATCCGACTGTAAAGCACCGCCACCCGCGGCGCCCAATCTAATCGGATCAAAGCCAATAGCGCTGGCAATTGGACGAATGGCTCCTAAACCACCGATTAATGGTCTGATTAGGCCTAAGGTTCGCCCTTGGACGACGTCACTTCTGACCGTGTTACGGCTTCCACTGCGGGAGCCACTTTGGCGCGTCGACTGGCACGAAGCAAATACGAAGAAGCAAGCCATTAGTAAGGCTTTGAAAAGTATGAACATTGTTTAGTTTTTTGTTTCGATTATTTTGAGAATAAGTTTAATAGAGTAATTTCAATATATTTCACTTAGTTTTTTCCAACCGGCAATATGTTTCAACAATTCATGCGGTACTTAAATTATATATATGTTTATATTTATCTTGTTTACAATTTTCTATTTAGTACACATTTTTTATTGAAATTGTTTGGTGGCTCACGTCGTGCTGGTTTTGGCACTACTAACATTCAAAATGGTGCTGCACTAGTATTTTTAGTAAAAAATTTTCTGAACGACAATAGAATACCAAAGAATAACACAATATGAATGAAACTACAAATATTTAGTGTCAAAATTTACTTTGGTCGATCATATGCGAAATTTCCATAATTGCAAGTTGCAGGCCTTCACACAGTCTGAACATCGAGCGATGTTTTTGTTATTTTTCTTCAAAATAAGAATAAAATAGTAAAAGTTGCAGAACAAATAAAACCAAAAGCAAACTATAATATAAAGAGCCAACGCATAAGGGTAAATACAAGTATAGTACAAAAATAGGCAACCAAAACGACATTCAGCCACCTTTAGATGACTACTACAAAAGCAGTTAGACTTCAGCTACGTCATTAACTTGTTTCGTCACCGACAACAAGACGCTCAGTCGACTGAGCAACTTCCCGCGATATAATGTGCCAATATTTATACCCATAAACTAGCACAGTGTTGGTAAAAATAAAAATATACAACAAGTTTTGATATGAAAATTTGCTTGGGTTGGCTCGATGTGCAGTCGATGTGTGAGAGCTCGCACTGTCGTGGTGAATAGTGATCCGTCTTCGGCAGTTAGTTTTCCTGAATTCTTAAAAGACCACTGGCATACATAATTGTCTGGGATCCAACGTGAACAAATTTTTTTCGCAGTCAAATGTTCATGCAATATTGAATTATTTCTGGTTCTGCTAATGATCCCACTAGTACCAACCTTCACAAAATTCGTCTTGGAGTGATCTACGATCTCGATTGAATTCATCATACTATCAATAAACACTGATCCTTGATAGAGCTTCACCGCCAAAAATTCAATTGAGTTCATCGATGCACTGTTGCTGAGTTAACCCGCGTCGAAGGTTGTAAAAAAAAGTTGCGCGAAAATGTTAGCGATAAATTTTATTTTTTGCCTTGAGTATTTTATGTTACTGTTACCAACACAAATAGCGCTCGTATGTCAAAACGTTCTGAGCATGTATAACCTCAATCTCATCAGCTATTTCTTTTCTGGAATGCGCTTGTTTCCTGGAACCTAGAATATATGCAATGTTTTTCCGGCAGCCACCATTCCTACTCCCTCCATGCTTTTAACAATATTCTCAGAGGTAAAACGATATGAGCATATTGCCTTAAGTACGTGCAATGTTCTCAGCAGCTTTACTAACCTCAAAGGCTTCCTCCTGGAATAACCTACAGTATTTCGGAAGCTTGAAGGGTCGCCTGAGATCCAGCTCCGCGCAGTCGATTCTGGCGCCTTCCCTATCAGTCAATTTTGATACGTCCGTGTAGATGTTGCAAGTTCCGCCGGCGGTATTGTAGAAAAGCCTAACGTCGCCATTCTTTCAGCTAATTTCGCTGTAGAGCTTTCCATTGCAATGTCGACGGTAGTAGGTTGAGTAACCTTTCTATTGCGCCTGTTGAAAGTAAGAATACTTAATCTGATTTGAAAAATTGTATTATAGCATCTGTCATATAAGCCTATTTTAATCGGATGATGCCCATATTTTTTCTCTTTCCGAACTTTATACTGCTCAATAAGCTCAATTTCATAATTGGAAGACAAATATTTTGATTTTGGACGCTAACTTCGAAAAACTGAGACATTTTTTTATTACTTATACATACACGAGTAAGACGTATGACTCAATGTCACGAAAAAATTGTTTTCGTCCAATATCCAGTTATCTGTAGTTATCAACATAGTATAAATTAGCAGTGATAGCCTGTTATTATTTTCCCCAACACTGTAAATGGTTTATTTGTATACTCATACAATATCGTATGCTCGCACAGTTTCCACTGCACGCTTGTGTGCCCACACCCCAATGACGGCTCCAATAAAGCCAGCGCGTCTTCGCTGTTGCCAATGACATTGACATTGCTATACAAAATAAAACGGCATTTCATATGCTGTTAATTGTTGGACAAAAGTTTGGCATTCAACTTCCATTTCGGATTGCCTCAGTTCTGAATAATCAATATTTGTGATTTTTTATTTGGTGTTTTTCTGTTTACTTCCGCGGTATGCTAAATCAAATCTTTCGCGTGGTCGTAGACTTTATGAAACTATGATTAACTTTTTTTGCGACAGTCATAAGTTTTTGAAATAACAGATTCACATTTTGTAGTCACAGTTAATTTCCACTTCGTCGGTATACGTTAATTAACAATGCTTTATTTGTTTTTTTATGTTCTTGAGAAGGTGAGGTTATTAACCCCATCTAAGGCTGTCAAAAATGATTGCGGATCAGCTGGAATGCTTGAGCTAACATATTTTAATTTACAAACGTTCTAAAGTTTATGATTAATTTCATTATCTTAATTATATATGAATAATAATAATGACAAATATTTGACAAGTTTAGAAAAGGCGTTGCTTAGTTCAGTCTCACATTCTATTGTATTTTTAAACGAAGTGTATTTGGAAGTTCCCACTTGTCATTAGATTACTCATCTCCATATGAGAATATTCAAGTAAAAAACAAATACATACATACATTGTTGAAAAATTAGCAAGTCTCAAAGTTGTGATAACCTTCATGAGATGTATATTAAATTAAGAGATCGGTTTTATATTCTTTAAGGTGATCAAAAATTAAATTAATGTGGTAAAAAGTGTTAAAGCCTAATATCGCTAATATGCAGTAATACGAGTTCACTGTTTCACAACTTAACTTAACTTAACTTATCTTAAATTAACTTATCTTAACGTAACATAACTTAATTTAACTGTATTCAGATATTAACTGAGTATTAATCTTTGTAAGGCTTACAGTAGGATTTAAAAACCGGCTTCACTAATTTTATTCAGAAAATTCACTAACTGCTGAGGAATTCAAAAACGCTAGCGCCAGAAACCTTCACAATGAAAGTAAAGATGTAAATTACTCTGATATGCTCCTTACAACATCCTGAAATCACATGAATGATGTCAAAGACATCTGCTCTTGGCTAATTTTGTCTTTATTTTAATTTAAAAAGAACCACCCTCTAGCACGTAAATTTTAATCTATAATATTGAAATTGCATGAAAAGTCTAAAATATTTATTTTAAATGTATACTAATTAATGCTTTTTTATTGTAATTATGTATTTGATTATAGGATATCTTAAGTATTTAATCTTTTATTTCCTGCATTTTATTTGAAAATTTAAAACTAGTTGCGGTTACAAAGCGAATCGCGACCAAAGTAGTTTATTTGCCGCAAGTGGAAAGACCCACACAAAATGATCAAATATTTAACATTCATGCAAATAGCGATTATAGAAACAAACAATGCATGAGATTAACAAACATTAGACCTGGCCGAAAATTTTATACCATTTGGTCTAATTTAGCGTGGACTGGCAGAAATAATATTATTTCACGTATTTTAATACAAGTCTTTATTATAGCAGTCAAGGTAGGTTCCTCAGCCAATACAAGCATGCTTATCTAATTTTCCATACAATCCTCGAATGGAATGGCCTTCAGTGCCTTCAGCGAATTTTGATTATTTTGATTCCGACTCATTTTGGAGTTACATTTACTAGATAGATGACACGCATGAGGCAAGTTTCGTTGACTTCACTGCCTTCACTGAATACTTTGAGCCACGGGTCGGAAGCAAAATGCTCCCAAACACACACTAATTGACATGTGGAGACCAAACTTCACAAAAGCACAAAAATCATTGTACAAGGACTAATCGTGGAAAAAAATTTTCTTGATTCAGTTTCCACGCGCAGTTTGTACGTACCGGTCCGGTCTGATCAAATGGTAAGGTTTGGACTATCACCCCTTAGCCACTAGAAGGTGTTTCCTTAGGCCAAATTTCAATTAATATAGACTGCTATGAAGCCCAAGAATCTATTTATTCTTGAAACTTATGTTTGAAACTATCGATAATTGTTAGTATCAATTTATCAGCATTTACGCAGGTACTAACCAAACATTTTAGCTTTTCAAATTGTTTATAATTTAAATTTAGTATTAAGTATATACAGACGAATAAAGATGATCGTGAGGACACAGCCTATCGATACAACGTATGATACTAACCAATATATTTTCGAGAAGAATTGCATTTAATGTTTCATACTTACGACTACTTCTGACTTCGTTTTGTGATATATTTTGACGTATTTTATATTAATTATACCTTGATCACTCCGAAGAAAATGATCAGCATGATGAGATGGGTTGATTTAGCCATGTGCGTCTCTCTATTTATACGTAAACTAGTACCTCAGTTTTTAAGATATCGATCTGAAATTTTACACACGAAATTATCAGTTCTTGTTGGTTCATACGATAGAGAGATATTTAAAAAATATTCATGCCGAATTTCAAGGTAATTGACTAGGTGCTATAATCCTAAAACGGTACAACTTTAAAAATAATTTGAATATTGAAACAGTTAGATATTGTTGATTATCTAAACTATCATCCTTAAATGAAAAGGGTAAGTAATTTTTTTAGCTTGTGAAAGGTATATACCAAATGTTGACAAACCACTTTTATATTGCTAAAGGCACAAAAAGCATGAATTGCAAAGGAACGCACAAAAATATGCAATACAAAGATCAATAAATAGAATAATAAATAAAAATTTAAGCAAAGACTACCACAGGTTTGCATGATATCTCTACAAAAAATATACTAACAATATCGATATACCCACGTGCAGCTATATAGTATAAAACCAGAAAGAAACAGTTAAATGAAGTAATGAATAATAATTATAATTATCATTTGATAATTTATGGAATGTTTTTCATTTCTTTTTAATTTTTTTTTTTTTTTTTTTTTATTATAATATTTTATTTAAGATATGCATATATTTTGTAATACTTTCATGTGATAAATTATAAATGTGACTCGCCGAGTAATATGTCGTTGCAGTATTCACTAGGTCTTTTGATTACTCTCGATTCCAACATGTACACTTGTTTTCTATTATATGAAAAAAAGTTGTATTTTAAAACTACTTAAATGTACCGTTTTCTACTTTAAATACGTATTAATTATTTAGAAACTGGTTGCTTTAGAATTCAGGCAACACCTTGTTGAAAATATTTATTTTACAGATTATGATGCCATCTTTTTGCCATTTAAGCCATATTAATACACAGTCAAGATGGACTAAATAAAAAATGATAGCGTGGAAACTTTTAGTTCTTCTGAAACCATCTCCTTATAATGCGGCATTCTAATTCTACCCTTACCCTAAATGTACTGACCAAATTTCACAAATTGCCCGCCAATTTCTCGAAGCATCCGAAAATTTAAATTCAGTGGCTTCTAAATACAATTTAGTCATATGAAATCTAAACATGTATACATATATGAGATATATATAAAAGTATATGTAATTTTATTAAATAAAACCAGTCCGCGATACGAAATTAAATCCTGATGGTGATATTTTTATATGGCACTTTACATGAAGGCGCAGAGGAATCTTCATATATGCTGACTTGATTGAGTGTCAATAAATCAATGACGCAGAAATCATTTCGCCTAATCTTTAATAAATTACTGTTAATGTTCAAAAGGTACAGAACAAATTATACAACTCGTGCTACTAGATAGACAATAAGACAAAAGCATATCCCACTTTTGGGCTAATTAACCCTGCTACGGGGAAATTAAGTGTTGTTACTGTGATTTACTTGTATTATTGAAGAAGGTTGAAGAGGTAAGCGCAGGAGTGCCAGATCGCACTTAGGCCATCATAAGGACTATTGTACTCGTGGATGAAAGCCAAATTAAGACTTTTCCAGCAACTCAGTAGATTTGGTAAAAAACGGATTTTTTCAACTCCAACTGCGAAATGTCTCTTAAGTTGAAGCAGTGGGAGCCCTGAAACATATTACGTCTCATTCGGCTGAAGGCTGTTGTTAATGTTTTAGCGTTTCATTATCCTCGAATCCACTTTTCCAATTTCTTGAATATGTTAACTTAACGGTAGGTGCCCTGTGAACTTAAAAGCTTTATGACATATCCACCATCAACACTACCCCAAAGTATTTTGTGATTTGCCCTATGTTGCTGGTGTTCCAAGACCTGAAGCGTTCCTCTAGGGTTCTTTGCGTTTCTTAGAGTTTTTCCACCTTGCGGTTGAAAAATTGATCAATACTTAAATCTGTTATATCAATATCAAGCCTGCATAGAAAATATCAACGGAAGTTGTAGTTTTTGTATCAAAATTTCGAATGATTTCTCTTCGAATGTACAAGAAATAGTACAAGAAGTACTACCAAGAAAAATGTTTGGATGTTGTAAGCTCGACTTATGAAGAACTAAATAAAAGTTGAGTTTTTTTAACATCATTTTAAAAAACTGTCGTTCTCTGGAGAATACAAAACCGGTCCTAGCCTCAGTTCTAAGGTATATTTCATGAAAGTTTCATTTTAAAAAAATGCCGACTTTATTTGATAGAACAATTAACAGAATGAAAGGAATTTGATATTATGAATGACTATCGTTCTAATATTTATGACGAAAACACTTTTTGGAATCAGATGCGTGGAAAAGCTGACGAAAGAAAATATGAAGATGAACTGTAATCATCGGTTTAGATTCTATAAAGCCTTCTGATCACATTTTCGATTTTAGTAAAAGTGGTGTAGTTCCTATTTTAAAAGGAGTAATGAGAAAAGGTATTTTAGACATTGAAGGGTTAAAGCAAAACTGGAAGTTTCATGTCTGAGAAATGCTTACATGGGCATGTAACAAGAAATTGTTTTGAGAGAAATTCTCATTCGAGAAACAGTTGACAATAACAGCTGACAAAGGTTAGGGACCTCAAGAAGGCCTCCAAAATAAAATCATCGACTAGTAATATCGACAAAACCTGATCTTTACATACGCACATAAGTGGCGATACAAAGTAACTAACTGCCACCGCAGAAGCTAGCATCAACGTCTAAGGGTGGTCTTAAATATACGAAACTTGTGAAAAAATACATCTAAATGGTTTTTGGTTGTTTTTACTAATACGACTTTGTTGACGAATATGCATGGTATGAAAAACAAGTTCAAAACATGCCGACAAAAACGCTTATCTCACACAACTTTATGTGTATCAGCCACTTAAGTGTACAAAAGTCTTTCTATATGTAAATATATCGATTTGTATTTTATAAAAACAAAAAAAGTCTTGCTTTATTTTTGGTATCTTTTTGAATTCAAAGTGATTCCCCAAAACTTTAGTGTCGTTTACCAAAGGAATATACCAATAAGTAGATAATTGTTTACAAATCTCTAAATTAGCACATGGTCTTATAGTTAACGTATATGTTATATATACAAACACAAATTAGTATATTGTATATAATAGAATGCCGATACACTTTGATGAATTTTTGAGTCCACAAGCATCATCGTCGGGGAATTTACAGAATCGATTTTATTATTATTTTTAAATATACATAAGTGACTGATTTGACAGCTAATGGTAAGGTCAACTACATGAAGGTATTGATATCAGCACAGGGTTAATATACTATGATAAGTTGTAAATTTGTATAACAGGTATATGCTATAGTAGTTCAACTAGAACAATTTGCTTGAAATTTATAGCGATGTCTCGGGTAATACTTTCTGCCATAAAGATATCTCGACAATTAAAAATGTTTTTCATACAAGGACTTGAGTTTTATCGCATGGTTTATATGGCAGCTATGTGCTATAGTTGTCCGATATTGGCGGTTCCGACAACTGAGCAGCTTCTTGGTGAGAAAAAACCTGTGCGAAATTTCAGTTCGATATCTCAATAACTGAGGGACTAGTTCGGGTATATAAAGACGAATATGGCCAAATCGACTTAGCACATCACGTTGATTTTTTATATATCTGGCTAGCAAGTCTTTGCACATTATTAAAGAAGCACATATACAAACATATGTATTGGAAATGTATTCAACACAGTCAATTATAATTTGTTGTTTTCATTTCTAATCCATCAAAACAAATAGATGCAATTTAAGACATATGGTTACCTCCCTCTACATACATCATCCACTCCATACGTCGAACCAACTAATCTGCTGAGATGATTAATGGGTTTCCTATAGGATCATATACATTAAACGCTTGCAGAGAAAGAGTATAAATGCTGGGGCACTCGGCTTACTGAGATCACAAGAATTTTGGGATTACAGTCGTTAACTACAACATAATTTTGTTGCAAAATGAAATTATTCCTGGCAATATTGTTGACTTTGTACGCGATCGCATACGCTTATCCCCGTCCAGGCGAAGAGGATGCACGGCAAGAGACATTGGAAACGGTAAATGCGCCACTCGCAGTGGATGTAGATGTTGCAGGTAGACGTGAAGCACGCCACGGTCATCGTGGTGGATTTGGTGGTGGTGGCTTCGGCGGTGGTGGCCTTGGTGGTTACGGTGGTCACGGCGGTTATGGCGGTGGTTCTCCGTTCGGTGGTGGCGGCTATGGCGGTGGTTTTCCGTACGGCGGTGGCGGTTATGGCGGTGGTTCCCCGTACGGTGGTGGCGGCTACGGCGGTGGTGGTTCTTACAGCCAAGCTTCCGCAAGTGCTAAGGCTTCTTCGGGTTCATATGGACGTTAAATATAACAGTGTAATGTGATAACGTGTGAAAACTTTTTTTTGTTTATATTTTAATAAAGCAAATAGTCAAACAGAACTGTAGGTCTTTATGGTGAAATGTGTCATATGTCTTCGGCGTTTCTATGAAAGGAGTCACTAAAATGGAATGCTTAAATAGTTTAAAAAATCTAATTAGGAATCGTGTATTCAGGATACACTAATTGTCGATGAAAAATATGCTGCCGATTACAAAAAGTGATTGGGCGAATGTTAACCGGGGCTTGCGCCAGAGGAAGCAACCATTCAAAGATAAATTTCCAAAACCTATATCAGGAAGGGGACTTCCAAACAAAGCTCTTACATACGAAAATATAAAACACCACTAAATAATTATTGATGATCATAAAACTTAGGGTGATCGAAATTGTTGACACTCTAAAATTGCAAAGGAGCATATTGGATGCATTGTTCAAGAAAATACAAAGTGAATGCCACGCGTTCTCTCAATCGATAGATGCGCTTTGTCAACAAAAATTCATGAACCGGACTTTCTGAACATTTTTGAAGTAAGGATAGGTTAATTTCAGCAAAAATAAAAGTTCGGCTTTTACACATGATCTTGGCGACTCTGCATGTCCTTAAGGCATTCCATCTCGCCCTTATCCGTCTGTCATCCCTTTCAGAAATTTCAGTATGTAACATTTTCAACGACTTAAAAGTTTCCTGTACTGGTTCGGTTGACAGACGGATTCCACTTTTTGCCTCATTAGCTGTTTCGGTACTCGGAATTCATATGTGGGCTGGAACCCAGTATCTACAGTATACTCCCTCCCTGATTGTAAGGGCATTCTGATGTGATTGTGAGATTACTGCCTTAATTGCCGCCTGGCCATCGAAATGGAAAATACTACAATATTCCGGAAGCTTGAAGGGACGCCTGAAATCCAACTCCGAGCAACAGATTTCGACGCCATTTTTGATCTGTCTGCGTAAAGCTGTTGTGACTCAGCGCATAAAACAGAAACACTCGTTGTTTCTTAGTATTCCAAGATTCGTAAAAGAGGCAGGTGACGATCCCCTCAGTCGACGGTGTAAATAAATTACTTGTAGAATTTGATTCCCGTAATTAATAAAAATTTGTTTAAATAAAAGCCCAATCAATTTTAGTCATATATGGTATTTTAACACACATACTTCTATGTTAACAAATATTATGTGAATTCCTATTTTTGAAAGCAGTTTATTTATTGAACAACTTGATTTAATTCTTAACACCCAAATAATTATGTGTCTACGAACTCCATAACCAGAATATTCCAACAATAAAATCAATAAAATCATGGGGGAAAAAACCACCGAAAATAAAGCCGCGCTTGAGTCAGTCAATCGCTAAGCAACCGCTTCGAGCACACACACTCACACGCTCACTTACCCGAGTATCACGTATCAGTAAGTATAACGCTGTAGAAATCTTTATCACATTCTCAACTATAAAACAATCGCAATTCGGCAGAGATGAAGCAGAAATCGAATAACGTTCTGTTAGAATACACACCGCATCAATTTAGTAAAATATATATTTTAAGAATGAAATTTCTTGCCGCGTTGTGTTTGGCGCTTTGCCTTTTCGTTGTTGCGTGTCATGGCGTGCCGGTGGAGAGGGAAACACTGCTGAGTATTGAAAAGGCGCAGCCAGTGGCTGTAGTGGTCGCGGAAGGTCAGCCTCAAGAGCTGCGACGTGTCGCACGGGGTTTCGGCGGTGGCTTCGGTGGCGGTTATCCTGGCTTTGGTGGACTTGGCGGTTATGGCGGTTACCCAGGCTATGGTGGCTATGGCGGTTTTCCGGCCTATGGTGGTTACGGCGGTGGTTACCCTATTGGTGGCTTCGGTGGAGGTTCGAGCAGTGCCGTTGCAAGCGCTAGTTCGGGTAGTGGTTACCAATTCTATGGTTAAGCCATTGCCACTGGTGTGTCAATATTTTAAGTGTTAATTAAGCGAATGTATTTTAATTAAAATTAGAGAAACATATTATATTAAATTTGTAATAGTATGTGAAGAAGTACTAAGTAAATCTATGAAAGAAAATCGTATGTAATTCTGATTATTTATATTATTTCTGGTTCACGAATTTTGGTTTTTAAATCATTAAGTAGAAGAGCACTCTTTGTTATAAATTATTTACTGATTCACCCTCTAGAGAGTATAACGGAACACCAATTAAACACTACTTGTAATAAGCATGTATGATTGGAGATTCTCAATCAGTCAGTTACAAGTCTACCATTAGTCACTTCTTAGCATGTTCTCGACCAAAAGTTGCATGCTCTATTGAAATTCACCAGGACTCGTCGTATTTTTGAAGCTTTCCTACAGTCCTACCTATATAGATATAAAAACAAGAAAGAACGCTAAGTTCGGTTGCACGGAAGCTACCCTTCACAAATACAAAAGATTCCATACACGAACTTGATTTTCATATTTCAGTTTAGACAAGTATGGCAGCTATATTATATAGTGGTCCGACCTGAACATTTTTTTCAACAATTGTAGCCTCCATCGACTTAGACCATAATTCTTGCCATATTTTATGAAGATATATTGTCATATAAAGAAGCTTTTCATACAAACATTTAATTTTGATATTTTAGTGTGTATGGCAGCTATATATTATATTATATAATAGTAGTCCAATCTGAAGAATTTGTTCCAAGATACCTCGACAAATAAAGAAGCTTTTCATACAAAAATTTAATTTTGATATTTCAGTTTGTATGGCAGCTATATGCTATAGTGGTCCGACAAAAGCGATGCTGACAAACTAACAGCTTCTTGAGAAGGGAATTAGGTGTATAAAATTTCAGACCAATATCCCCAAAAATGGGGGCTATTTCGCGTATATACAGACAGACGACGTTTCTTCTGAGTGCTGTAAACTTCGTGGCAAACTTAATATACCCAGTTCAAGGTATAATGATCATGATGAAGAGTAGAATTGAAAAACGCAAAATTCTGTTACTAAGCAATTAAGCCACACTTATCAAATTCGATATAAAATTGGTGTGCCCTCAAATCGCCAAAACCCTCAAATTTAACACTGGAAATGACACCGGAGATGCTTATATGGAAAATTCGATTAATAACATTTGTATTAGATCTTTATGTAAAAGTATTACCAAGAACACTTAAAATATGAAGCTCAAGCGTTAATGAAGGTATACAACTCTATGGCAACTCTGATCAAAAAATAAACGCAAGCGACCAATATATTCCCTAGCCCACATTAATCGATTATAATGACAAATATTGCAAAATGTTTGTGTGGTGTGAAACCATAATTATTTCTGATAATATATAGTGTGTTTAAAAAATTTGCTTTTTCTTTATTCTGGATTTTGGGTCTGAAATAAACCTTCCTCGAGTCGTATAAAAATTAGTGATTTACTTACGTACCATACGTAGCAAGATGATGATGATGACTTTGGTAATATATCTAATTGGATCGATGTATAGTTCACTCTTATTAGCTGAAACTAACTTTAACATCCGAACTCATTTGTAGAATAAGTTGGATATCACGAAAATTCCATTTCACACGTCAAGCGGAGAGCGACCTCCATATAGCGCATATGAGAATTTCCATTACTGTCGTACATTGCTTCTAAGGTTTGTTTGGTTTTCAAGAGGAATTTATCCACTAAAGTGAGAAACGCAATACAATTACAAATGCGTCAGAGAACAGATTAGCGAAAGGTTGCAATGTAAGCGGTGAATCGATTCTGCAGTTAAATATGGCAGATACCCCTTTTATACAGATTTTGCGCACAGCTTTTACTTTATTTCAAATTTACGAGTAAATTAATTTCATATTTCGTAGAAATGAGTTACTTCTATTCCTAATTGCATTCATCCCAAGTTCGTTTAGCTGTTATAGGAACTTGCTAAACAAGCTGCGAGCTATGCATTTTAAGTTCATTACCATCGTTTATAAATTTTCGAACATCGCATCAGATTTAATAAAAGATAGGTTGTATTTGAAACAAAATGCATTGAATTTTTTGACTTTCTTTTACTAATAACACATGTTTAAGCTTTGAATAGCCGGTCTTGTCTTCAACTTTCTTCCACTTTTTATACGCCTTTTACTGTACTATACTCAGCACGAGTAAAATTTATTAAAATTTTTTAATATCAATTGCAGTCGTAATTGGTAAAACGTGAAACAAATATTTAGACAATTCTAAAGGAAAGGCGTAATTCCAGTTCCAGTTCTAAACAATTGATTAAACTCACATTTGTATTGATATAATTATTGATACAACTTGGCAAAATCTTTTTTATGACGTTAATTTTTATTGCAGCGACAAGTATAAAATGGGGTGTCGCCGTAATTACTCCAGTATACTTTCATTGCAAGTAAGTCCCGTCGCATCCGATATAATGCAATTCCTGACATTCGCATTCATCCTGGCATTCATTGCTACGGTGCAGAGCTATCCCAGCTATACAGCATATGATGATTATGTGGAGGTACCGGTAAATCCGTTAAGTGGACTTCGAGATACCGAAGAAGCTTCTGCCAGATTTAAGCGTGAACCCCATAGACATCAGGGCGGATTAGGCGGATATGGGGGATTCCAGAATTACGGAGGTAATCCATATCAACAAGGTTTTAATCAATATCCGCAATATGCTCCAATCGGACAAGCAAGTAATGCCATATCCAGTGCTACTGCAAATGCGGGTACTGTGAATGGCCCAGGTGGTGGCGGCATTAACAGTGCCAGTGCCTCTGCAAATGCAGCAAGCTCAACTGGTACATTTTCGGGGTATCCAGGATATAATGTGTACGGCTAAATTTTAAAATGTAAACAATAATGGCATAATGTCCGTAATAATAAATATAATGTGAACATTTAATTGGTAGCAATTAATTTTTAGGCAATGGCAATGTGCTGACCGTAAACTAACGGTTTCCGTTCAACCTGTTCTCTTTTTACGTTTTATTTTTACTAAAGAGAAATTGTGCGTAAACAGCAATCGCGTTGAAGGTTGAGTATGCCTGGGGTATTTACAGTTTTAAACAACGAGCAACGATCAGGACTGTCATTGGAAACAATTTCCGATGCAAGAAATCATTGGCTTAAGTAAGGGTAAAAGGCTGATCCACCACGTCAAGTGCAACGAAATTACCCACTAGGACCGCTGTCAGCTATATGCGATCCGCTACTATTTCGTGTATATACAGACAAACGGACATAGCTAAATCAACTTATCTCGTGACGCTGATCATTTACTTTAACGTTTCCTTCTGGGTGTTTCAAACTTTGTGGCAAACTAAATATACCCTGTTCTGGGTATAAATATAGTACTTTATAGATAGCGCTTAGATGTATTCAAAAGCTATTGGAATAATTTCGTATGCTATATACCGAAAATTCGATGAACGGGAACGAAAATATAAGATATGAGCTTCGACTTTTGCTTTTTACTTATAATGATGAAATTTATACAGGAACTCGTCATTTGAATTCGATTGAAATCAATATGGTGTTTCCAAAATATTAATTCTGGTCACTCTGTTTCGCTAAAAACTGCACGATTCGCCGTATTAATGAAGTTCGTTCAGGCTATAGACATCAGATTAATATTGATATGTCACCAGGGTTAAGAAATCACACTGACAGTGATATTGCGGACTTGCTATGGACAATGTTTATACTCGTATGAAGAAAACGTCCGCAACTTACATATATGTCAGTTTAAATAACAAGTATCAGATATTCAACTTCATAGAAATTGACGTTATAAATTCATATCGGAATCTTACCTTAACCAGCGAAAGTTTAGAGGTCCATTTTGCAACTGAAGATAATTAAGTATTAAGCATATAAATATAAAATTAGTATGCTGACTAACTAACTAACTTTACCGATTAGTCCCGATCATTATAATTAAGCCACTCGATAAGCACATGCTACTTTTTGACGCATTTTGCATACTCTGGCAACATGTTGTAACAGAGTACAATAGTTTTGTTCAACTAACCATTCTTTGTAATACCTAAAACTCAATTTAAGCATGGAGTTATGTGTATTATAATGATAATGGTGACGAGACGAGCTCCAGATGTCTGTCTACAAAAGTTTGTTGTAGCTTGAATAGGTAGTTACAGGCTGCACGTTACCTGGTATATAAATTGAACAATAGGCGTACCTTCTAGGTGTGGTTCATCTAAAAATGCTCCAAATCGGACTAAACTTTGCAAGCTCATGACAAAATATTAGAAGCTCTACACCAATGGCTGATTTGGTATCGAACAATTAGTAAATTTTTGAGATATCTTAATGAGCTTAGAATGATATCTTCTCCTTAGAATAATGCGGTCTGGTTCCGCTACCTGCCATGTATATTTTGTTCTCCAACGTAAGTGAAATCGGTCAATGAACTACCCTAGCCTCAATGTACCTCACTGTTTCCACACCTTTGCTTCTGACAAATTGCAAAAAGTCTCTAACATTCGGCTGCACGAGAACTAAGCGCTTCCTTAGTGGTTTATCTATTCTCCCAATTCTAACAACAGAGTGTTGGTGAATACATCTTGCATGATTTATACCAAATTAATTTCTTATTTTCTATTTATTTGCTAACATGTGCCTACTATGTCACACAACAAAAGTGACACACATTTTTTTATACAATACATATTTAATTTTTAAGACAACATTAATATTCAATATATTAGAGCTTTAAAAACCATCACAAATAAAATCCCCTGTTTGCATAAGCCACTTGAGTTGGCCTCTTCACACGCGATTAATTGCACGGCAGATTTGCCGTTACCACCTCTTGAGAAAAGAGCTTTGCAAAATTCACCAAAATATTCGTAGCGAAGGAATGTAAACGAAAACCAGTAAGGAAGCGCTAATTTCGAGTGTCACCGAACATGCGAGAGTGTATAATTTTTAACGATCAAAATTGGGGGCATATTTTTAGGTATAAGCAGAACTTTATTTTAAACAATAAGCAACGTTAACTTCGGTTGCGAAGCTATACTTGTAATACCCTGCCCAAGTACAAAAGATTTCTTAGAAGAACCTGATTCTGATCGGTTAGTTTGTATGGTGGTGGTCCAATGTCAACGGTTCCCACCAATGAGTAGCTTCTTGAGGAGAAAAGAAAGTGTGCAATATTTCAGATGGATATCTAAAATGTGGGACTAGATCGCGTATTTAGTGTATACACACAGGCGGACAGACATACGGAACGACGGACATGGTAAAATCGCTCGTTATACTGATCCGCCACTCATTTACAAATTAATTTTAGTTTCATTGCGTATGGTAACTCTACCTGCTAGTTTAATATTTTGTTTTGTACGTTTGCCTAAAATCAATCAATACATCAAGTATTTTAACAATCAACAAAAAGTTTGTGAACATAACTCGTCAACCTCCTGTAGAAGTATCAACTAAATCTACAGTCGTCCACCGCATCGTTACATCCGAACAACTCGTATGTAGCAGACCAAAAAGATTATCCCCTGAAAAGCTTGCTACGGGACGTGCTGAATTCGAAGTTTTAATGAAACATATGTCGAGTTTCATTAAGACTGTCTGATAACAACTCTGTAACTGTATGTTACGCAAGGCAGATGTTTCTAGGAGACCTTGAATGCAGTCACAGTACCGGACAGGTACCCTCTTCCGCTCCTGCACGACTTTACGTATTATTCAGTCAAAGCAACTTTTTTTCAAAAATCAACTTGCAGAAAGCTATTCAACAAATCTGTATACATAGATTTTATCGCTTAAATCACCACAGACATCCGTCAAGTATCTGGTTCATAAAAGTTTGTTGCGGGTATAATATATGGCATCGAAGCAATAACCTCGGAACCAACTCTTCAAGCAATCGACGATGATGACGTAGCCCCTGACCAAGCGACATCAAAGACGATGAGCGAACGTTTCACGTCGATCACGGCAGTCGAAGTTTTGCAAAACAGTGCCTTCAATGTCAACGTAACAAAGTCAACAGACACAATGTCACTCCTCTGCTCATTTTTGCCCATTTACACATTGACATTGTGGGACCATTCCGATGACCGAGGGACATCGCAACTGTCCGTTTTACCAGATGGCCGGATGCTTTCCCGATTCCAGACAGCATCGCTCCAACAGTAACTAAGGCGTAAATTAGCGGCTGGATATTGTGTTTAGGAATCTCCACCGATATAACTTCTGACCTAGGGCGCCAATTTGAATGTACCCTTTTGCAACATTTCTTCCACTGTAACGGCGTCAAACACCTACGAACAGCACCTTACAAACTTAATAGCAAATACGCTGTGCGGGAAAGATTACCTTATTGTTGTTCGACGATTTTATGAATGTATCACAATCATATTTGGTATCTAACTTAAGCTATAGGTTATACCTATAATCACTTAGTCCAATATATTTATATTAAAATCAATCCAACTAACACAAGAGAAAAGTACATATCGACATTAATATAATGTACTTTTATATTATATTATTCCACATATTCGGTATTTGAAAATTTATTGTGGAGAGATGGCATACCTTAATCACACCATTCATGCGAAGTTTAATTTCGATGTCTAAACTGAAAGAATCATATGGAGTTCAAAACTGTTATGTTTGGGATGTAGGCGTGGTTGTGGTCCAATTTGTCCCATTTTCACTACGTAACTTAAGAAGAATAGGGTACTGTTATACACCAAATTATTTAGGTGATTCAAACAACCTTCAGGTGAACAAAACTATTATACTCTGTAGCAACATGTTGCGTGATTATAAAAGTCACCAAAAAATTTAAATAAATAATAAAACAACACACATTTACTCTGTAACTAATATCACGGACGACCACTGACATCGCGTGGAGCACTTTTACCAAGACTCAGCTATAAAATGCACTGTCGGCCGCACTGAATGAGCAGAAGTCAAATAAGCATCGATCAGCAAACAACAATTTGCTTTTAGTATAATAGGAATAGTACAAAGAAGTATTTCGAGAATGAAATTTATTGCCGCGTTGTGTGTGGCGCTAATCCTACTCGTGGTGTTGTGTCATGCTGCGCCCGTGGAGCGTGAAACACTCTTGAGTATTGAAGACTCCCAGCCTGTGGTTATTGCTTTTGAGGAGCAACCGCAACCACTGACACGTGTAGCACGTGGTTTTGGGGGTTATGGCGGTTATCCCGGATATGGTGGCTTTGGTGGAGGTCCAGGATATGGTGGTTTTGGTGGACGTCCAGGATATGGTGGCTTTGGCGGAGGTCCAGGATATGGAGGTTTTGGCAGAGGTCCAGGTTTTGGTGGCTATGGCGGTTTTCCAGGTTATGGCGGAGGTTATAGCAGTTCTAGTGCTACTGCCAATGCAAACTCCGGTAGCTATTTTGGATAAGAAATTTCCTTGATAAGGGACATTAATTATAGTATTTATTATTTCGCAAATTGAATTGATCTAATAAATGGTAAATTTAATACAAATTATGATCTCTTGAAAAGCTTAATTAACCACTCATTCGGAGGAGTGGTGTGTATATACGAGGTGTACCGGTACGAAACGATTTTTTGTGTGAAAATGAAATACTAATTTTGAATGGGAAAGTAAAAAAAAAATATTCAAAGTATTGACTATTGCTTTTTACACATTTTGACCACCTTTCTGGCAGTTTGTGGATACCATGCCAATAAAAATGTTCGTCTTTTGAAGCAAACCAATCAGACACCCAATTTTCAACTTCTGCGTAGGAATCGAAGTGCTGGTTAGCCAATGCGTGTCCCATCGATAAAAACAAATGGTAATCGGAAGGGGCCAAGTCTGGTGAATACGGCGGGTGAGACAGTAACTCTCAACCAAGTACTTGTATTTTATTCTGAACCGATTTTTCCTTGTCTGCAGATGCATTGTCGTGTAAAAAAATTACTTTGTCGTGTCTTCTGGCCCATTCTGATCGTTTTATCGATCAATGCATCATTCAAATTGATCATTTGTTGTCTGTAGCGATTAGTGTTGACAGTTTCACCAAGTTATAGAAGTTCATGATATACCACACCTTTCTTATGCCACAAAACACACAATATTGCCTTCTTTTGCATATTAATTCTGATAGAGCATGATCACCATCGACAAGCATTCAATGCGACTCTTCAAATGGAAACAAAAAATTAATGCTTTCCACAAATCATCACTTTTCGGTACAAAATTTGACATTTTCAACACAATAAAAAAACATGATGTTGTTTATTCTGTAAAGTTATTAAATATGTTTGACAGATGTCATGTCAACCAAACAAACAAAACTTTAAGGCTCGTTTAAAACAAATTTTCTCCACCACTTTCATATTTCATATAACAAGTAAAATGATTAGCACTGTGAAAGCCACCTTAGTGTTGTGAATAGAATAGGTGCTCTCCGCATTATATGGGGAAACGGTTTTGAAACCTTAAGGAATATATGCGTTCGGTGAAAAGTAGATAATTACAATAATTGGAAAATAAATAACTATTTTAATAACTTTGTGTGTTTTTTGGAGTGAAACTTCTAATGTTAGTTCGGAAAAGGTTGCGTTAAACTTTTAACGCGTAGTGGTTAGGGTGTATATCGCATTTACTAGTGAGCAAAGAGAAATAAAGAGAGAGAGAACTACACAGTGAGATATGATACATACATACATATCTACCAGAAAAATTATCAAGTGTATTCGTTTAACCGCGTTTAGCACAACACAGCAAGAAATTCCGAATCCCCACTAAATGACCGTTGCGCTATTCTATTAATATTTTGTTACTGTGTAATTCTCAGCTACTTTAAACGACTGCTTGTATGCTGAACGAAGCATACTTACCTGGCGTATGGTCATGAAGGCGGCGAGGCTTGGCCATTGCACTTCGGCTGAGTTGACCTTCGCGATTATTCCTAATGCGAATAACTGGTGCGTGTAATTTTTAGTAGCCAGGAATGGCGTTCGCATCGGTTTTGGAAGAAGTTGACAGATTTGTTCATCTAAAAAAAATAAATTAATGCAGTTTTCCAAATTTATTGATTTTTATATAAAAGTAAACAACATTTTAAGAAAAACCTAAAACTATTATTTAACAAACACAATATTCATAGTCATACACTCCTAATGGGAACATATGGCAATGACATAAATTAAAATTAGTATTAAGTGGGATATCCTTTTTTTTAAATGGACAATTGTACCAGATCCAAAGGCATGCACTATGCACTGTGATTAAAATTTGTTCTTAAAATATCAATGTATTTCTTAGCATTCATAATTCCGGTGATAAGGACAAGCTGCAACAAAACATCCCCAGAACATGACGCAACCTCAACCGTGTTTAAATGTGGGCAAAAGGTTTTCCTGTGATGAAGACGTTTATTTTTCTAGCGCCATATTTTTACCTTTCCATCACTGTGAAACTTTTAATGGGAGTTCGGGAAAGGTTGCGTTAAGCGTATAACGCCCCTAGTTATGGAAAGAGAAAGAGAGAGAAAGAGAAGCTACGCAGCAAGTGTTGATAACTTAGTGAGTAAACCATCACATGGTTTTAAACGCGAGTGTTTTAATTTTGTTGATTTTTTTAAGAAATTCAGTTTTAGAATCAGTTTGTTAATTTTAAATCTTAATTCGACATTTCATAATTCGGAGCGTAATAATATTATTTGGTGATTTCGCGATTTGAATATTGTTTAATTTTTATCTAGAATATTGGGGAACACCACCGAGATATTAAGACCTTTAAGAACTTCTCTTCGAATCGCATGAAATCTTGAATAAAAAGGCAATTCCTTCCGTGGTTGAATAAGAGAAAATTGATCGCGGTTTCGATCTAATGAAGATGCACGCAGGAGCCATCTCTCCGATGCTGTTTTCACCAGAAAATTAATTAAATAGAAATTTAATATTTCATATCTTATTTTAGCTATTACAATCCTCTTGTAAATATTATTAATAGGGGATTAAATCGAAAAAATTTGTTTATCGGAAAAAATAAAAGTTTTTGTTTGCCAAAAATATTGTGTTACAATAACATTGATTTCAATCCTTTCATGTTTCCAATTTGCCATCATAAAGCTTCCCTTCTTCCGCGCAGAGAGACTCCACGCATCTTGCTTTTTGTTCAGGGATTCACGCTTTGGAAAAAAAGGGCCAGACAGGAGACTAATCGAATGATATCGACCGCTGCTCATTTGTCGGTACTGCCGATATCGGATCATTAAAGCATATAGGTGACATACACACTGAACGAAATTTGACTGGGATTATTTTCTTAAGCATTGGTGCAATTTACAAAAAAAATATCCGATTTTTCTATGCAATATTTTGTCTGAAAGAACACAATAAAACTCGTTTTGTACGAAAAAAATGTTTGCTTAATTTATCTAAAAATCCAAAACTCTGGAATGAGAAATTCCGATATTATTTTGAAATGCTTATAAGATTTTATACAGCCCATACATAAAATCACTATGTTTACTAAGAGGTTGCCCTCAATGCATTTTTAAACTGCCAATCTTCTGACATAAAATCAAGTGTATTTGTATATATTTATATATAATATTACATAAATACTTTTCTATTTATACGTAAGTTCATATATTTTGCCATTAAAATTCCTTAAAATGATAATTCCTAAAATAATTTGATTGGATCTGACATAATATTCTGCTATTTTACTGCTTGTGATATATCGGCTTAAAATTTCTCGAATTGTATTTAAAGTTCTATTATTATATAATAATTATATATGTATATCAAATTAAATTTCCTTAAACTTGCAAACAAAAATGATGATTGGATATGGCCTTTTTCGACGAAGAATGTGATTAATCTATATGTATTTGGATTAAAATTTCTGAATTCTTATCAATTAAGATTCTGGGAAAAATTGTTAAGTTATACCGCAAATGTTTTAGAAAATCGCTTTGCGACAGATATTGTATTTCCAATTATTTTCGCGAATTTTAAGTTTAAATCACTCGCAAAGCTTTAAGCTTTAAATGCCCTTATCTGCCTGACTCTTTAGAATAATAGTTTGAACTAAAAATAAAAATTTCACGACTGAACTTTATAAAGTAGCTAAAGACTATGAAAAAAGTCATGCGACAGACACAGACACAGTACACGTGACAGAAGTACTTCTTTACCAATTCATTGAGAGTGAGTAAGAGTGAGGGAAAGAGAAATAAAGAGAGAGAGAGAATGAGTTGTATTGTACATATTACAGGGATCATCGAAATAATATCATGTGTGCATACAAATTTAATATTTAATTTAGTTCTTCAATTTGTACATTATCTTCAATCGGAGCAGATATAAATATAGCGTATATAATGGATTTATGGTAACTAAAGTATGAAACATATGTTTGTGATTCTAAATAGTGTATCTTTCTGAAGAATTCTGAATTCTGAATTCTGAAAAAATCGAATTTTTCACGAAGAAAGTGAAGTCGGGTATGAGAGCAGCACCACCATAAGTGTACAAGTACATAACCAACGTACTCTGCACCCTGTATGACAAACAATGAAACCCTCAATTTGATCTTTTTTGGGAGATATGTAGATCGCTGCGTTGACAATTTCTTTTGCATTTTTACATTTACTCAAGCTGATATCGCCAATTTCAGTCAAACTCACTGTATGTGCAGTGGAGTTTATTGGACTCGTATGAAAATGTGGAGTGTCTTTTGAAGGCGACAGCGACATATCAAACAGCTGATGTACACAATTTCGTTATTGCCGTACTAAAACCTTTCACTTCATTGAAATTTAAATACTTTGTTAAAAGTGAAATTTTTTGTGCAAAAAATAAGTAAATAGGTCGATTTATTTGTTTTAAATTATCAATTTTTATTACAAATGATATATCAGGGCTATTTTATGCTTCTGTTGGTAAGATAACGTTAGACTTGTTAGGTCTTTGAATAATTCTACATTTCACATATTAATGGCAACACTACAGCCGCCACTTGCCGTCCGCTAAATTAGAATTGGTTTTAATTTAGCAACAGCGACACCTTCAAGTCTGCTGCTGCTGTGAAAGCATTCTGTTGTCGAAATAACTGATAACCATAATAACGTGTGCATGTTAATATTTGGCAGATGCTGCATGCCGCTTGTCGTCGGCTATGTGTTCAGTATGTATGCGCCAATGTGCAGTGTGTTATCTCTGGTGCAACTAACATAGAAGCCTGCGAAATGAAGCGTATCAAAATATATGTATATCGGAGAGTGCGCGAAAAACAAAAACAAATGCATTGCTGCAATCTATATGGCTACGCACACACACGTAGCTGTTCAAAGCAAAACAAAATCGAAACGGAAATTTGAAAAAGTGTCGTGACGCGACCTTGAAAAATCACTCTGATTCCTCCAAAGAAGTATTCACTTCAAAAACTAGTATTTATAAAAAGAATACTAATATTCGCAATAAAAGAGACTAGCACATTGTCTATAATTGTATTGTATTTTTATCCATTCGTGCTTGGCAAAGTGTGCAGTTCGTCCCTTTGTTCGCTTCAAAGAAGCTAATCACCAGAAAAATATCACAATATCAGCAATTTCAAAAGAAGTTGCCTCAATGTTGTAAATAGAATTCCAAAACAAAAATCTTTTATTTGCATGAAAATGTGTTCAGAATTAAAAGTAAAACTTGACTAAAATAACAAAGTTCACTTTTCCGTACGATTAGTATAAAACAGAGCATCGGCTTTGATGTTTCATTAGAATTATTTCGACAGTCTAGTGATTCTTCAGTTTGATAAACTTAAAACACACCTTTATTTTGATTATAAAATGAAATTGTTTGTATATGTGTTATTTACCGTCCTTTTGGCGTCGGTATACTGCTATCCGGCCAGAAGTGAGGACATCAGCGCAGCACCGTCGGAGCAAGATTCTGCCCTAGTAACGGATTCACATGTGCGTCAGAAGCGTGGCTATTATCCTGTTGTCAGTTACGCTGTCAGTTATCCGGTGTATAGATCTGTGTACCCTGTATACAACGCCGTTGCTCCTGTACCTGTTGCTTCGTATTCAGTTTATCAACACGCCTATCCTGCTACTATTTACGGTTAAGCGGACAAATAGAAAGGATTAATGATTTTCTAAATATAAAACGATATTTTTAAATATGACACCTGGCACAGAAACTTGATATAATAAACGATATATATATGGTATATAAGGTACTTCGTACTTTTTTATTTCCATACAGTAAGTTCTTGGGGCTTCTGGTATATTTATAGACTCTAAGCAGGGTATATTAAGTTTGCCACGAAGTTTACAACATTCAGAGGGATGTTGGATACCCTATAAAATATATGTATGTATGTATAAATGATCAGCAGGACGAGCTGAGTTGGTTTAGTCATGTCCGTGTCTGTCTGTCTATCCGTCTGTTTGTCTGTATATACGCGAACTAGTTCCACAGTTTTTGATATATCGACCTAAAATTTTGCACACGCTTTTTTTTCCCAAGAAACTGGTAATTTGTTGGAACCGCCACTATCGGACTACTATACCATATAGCTTCCAGTTATTTGACGAGATATCTCACGAAATTCCGCACGAATTATTGTACAAAAGTACCATTTTGTGAAGAAATTGCTCAAATCGGACTACTGTAGCGTATAGCTGCCATACAAACTGAACGATTGGAATCAAATTCTTACATGGAAAACTTATATTCTCGAAATACGGCTCTCTAGACCATATTGCTTCCATACAAACTGAATTATCAAAATCAAGTTCTTGTATGGAAAATTGTTTATTTGTGAAAGGTACTATTGCTTCGGTGTAGCCGAATATATAGGCATATCTGAGATTATTTTATTTTTTATTAACGATCAACGATAAATTAGAGATTTTACCAACAACCAGAAGTACAATTGTCTAAAACAGAAAATCCTTGCGACCCAGAATACTTATTTATGTGCTAAAGTTGCTAAATATGGAAGAAATGAGAAATCACACAACGCCATGAAACTGTATAAATAAAAATACAGCTTAAAGATTAAGAAGGTTAATCAAAAACCAAAAACTTTGAAAAAGAAAATTAAGAAAAGGAGAGAAGAAAGATAAAAATAATATAAAAGTTAATTATAGCTGCTTTTACAATATTTAACGCAATACGAAATTTTGCGCATTTCGCTTTCCTTTTCTATTTTATAGTCATGAATTTAAAAGCACCTGATTCCATTTTATGGTGTTACTGAAAACTAGTTAAATAATTACTTAAATTTTGACGAGATAAAAATATGTTAACTTTCACAAGAAAACTGATAATTGATTTAGACAAAAAAATTGTAGACGTTTTATGGTCTTATTTGCAATATTTACTATAAAAATCAGGTAAGTTTGAAGTTAAAAATCAATGTGAATATAGTAATTATTTTGTATCAACTTTCGGTATAAGTATGGAAAATATTTGTTTATTACTACATATGGTTATCGTTTATGCTTCCTAAGAGTTTGTGTCTGAAGTCTTTTGTTCAGTCTATTGAAATAGGTCGATATTATTTCGGATTTGTTTATGAATGAATTACAAAACGAAAGTTGCATCGAATACGTATTAGAGACTTCTTTTTATTGCTTATATAAGTTCCGAGCTTTTTTATAATACTAAAAATAAACAAAGAAACCAATTTTAAGTGAAAATTGGCACAAAAGGATTGATCTTCTATTGTTATAGCTTTAATATAAATAACAGTGAAATTAAGTTTATAAGCAAAGAGTTTCAATCAGAAAACAAACAAATTTTAAAACACACTCTTAAAAATATTCATTTTATATGGTTTGCTAGCCTAAAGTTAAACTTTTTGTTAGAGTACTATAAAAATAGTAATCGGAGCCCTTTTGGAATTTGCGGATAATAGGGTATACTTTTTTTAAATTTTGAGCTACCACATTAAATGCTTATTTTTAATTTAATATTGTAATAGTGTTGCCGTTCTATGCTGGGTAAGTGAGACTCGAAATGAAAGGCTCAACATCTAAAAAAAGAGTACCAAATGTATGGAGTTTGAGTGTCTGAGGAATCTTCCTTAATACGAATACTGCGTGAAAATGATTATTATAAAACTCATTGTTGAAGTTTTAAATTAGTAATAGTCAATATAAAATAAATTTAAGTAAAATTAAGAGATGATTAAAATCGAGTCAACCCAAACATTAAATAATATAATGCAAAGGTATAAGTAATTCACTTTATATCCAACATACCGATATTAAATTCAACCGATTTAAGGACTTTACATAATCGTTACACACAGGGTTAGGATAGTAAATCCGTCCATATTGGATATCGAGTCAGTCAGTCTTTGAGGATACTTTTCTGAATGATTCAAATTATATTCAATTAAAGTCCGAAATTCGCAATATTAAAAAGAAAATGGAGCTTGCGCTTTATTTTATTAAGTCATCTATATTTTTCAGTCAAAGGCTCTGATGCTTTACCATCTCGAAATGAGCAGCTCCTTGTTGAAAAGAGGACATTTGCCAAATTTCAGATTTATATATATATATATATATATCTCAAAAACTGAGGGACTTGTTCGCATATATACAGACGGATACACAGACAGACAGATTTAGCTCGTCGCACTGATCATTTATATTCATACATATATACTTTACATGGTCTCCGGCGTTTTATTTTGAGTGTTACAAACATCGTGGCAAACTAAATGTACCCTGTACAGGTTATAATGAAGCATTGTTGGTCAGATTTTTCCCAAATTCAATTTTTCTGTGAGCGACATGATGATTTGAGACACTGTCCCTGAGACTTACCTTAGTCTCGAATACATTTTGAATATTTTATGGTATTTTTTCATTGGTCGTTAATTAGATACGAAGTTGTAAATCTACCTATATATCATAAAAAACCTTGTACAAAACTCATCAGAACTTGATTTAATATTTTATATATACTTTGAATAAGTTTGTTATTTACCAACGATGGGTTATGGTAGTAAAGTTCATGAGTTAATTATTTAGAAATATATTTGAAATTTTTTGGCTTCACACTTTTGGCTTTATTTTAACCATTTAATAACATTTCAAAATTATAGATGTTTTCTCTGACACACAACACTCAGTTATACTTGTATTAATACAGTTATGATTTTTTCAAATGAAATCTTTGGTCTTCTTAAAGATATATGAACTTTAAATTAATATAGGATAAGCTAAGTTGAAGTTTAATAAAACTTTATTTTTAACAGAAAACACAACAAATTATGGCAATATTGTGTTTGTTTTTATTTTTTTAGCTTAGTAAATCACATTTTTAATTTCACAATTCAAATTAAAGATATATATTCGTTATTCGTATCGTCATTTTAACCATAATAACGACCCCGATGACCGCCATATCCACCGTATCCACCATATCCACCACGGTATCCACCATATCCACCACCATATCCACCACGATATCCACCATAACCGCCACGATAACCACCACGATAGCCCCGCGCCAAGCGATCGCCTTCGTTCTCATGTCCTTGCTGCGCGTCGACATCGAATAAATTTAACGGATGATCGGCTGCCTCAAAAGTGAGTACACCGTCATCGCCAATGGGATTACCGCTGGCGCTGACCAGCATTGCCACGAACACCACCAATACTAAGCAAACGCTAAAGGCACGCATTTTCACTGAATGATTTTATTTTAAGAAAGGTCCTGAGTACTTGTTAAGAAAGTTCCTCTAGAAGAGTTGCAAACGTTTTGATTATAATCTGAATATCGCTTTGCTTTTATATACTAAAATTGTAGTTGATTTTTGTCAACATTGTATAGTAGCTGTGCATGTACGATTACAAATCATTTTACTAAACTAAATGATATAAATAATCAGCGAAATGTTGTACATTACTTGGAATGAAATCGCGAACGTGATTGCTGTTCTATAAAAATAGAGAAAATATACAAGTCTAGAAATTGAAATTGAACAAGCAAAAGTAATCAGATGCGCCTAGCAATTTACAGACTGTCATGTCATGCAACAACAATAACTCAAACGACGAAAACAACTACTTGATTTGGGGGCGGCTGTTGTTTACTGCAAACACCCCTGCTAAGCGGGTGTCATCTTCTCATTTGCGACGACTCGGATTTGCACGCTCTCATTTTGTGATGCATCTCCGCTATCACCTGACCAAGTCAACAACACAACTCATGCGTTTTCTGCATTGCATTGAATTGACGTCTGTTAATGAATGAAATCGATCAGTATATTACTTAATAATACTCTATGTAATCCAAATGACATGTGGCACACTTGAACGCCTCAGTGATTTCTGAGAATTGGTCAATGCGAACACGACAGCATATTTGCGGGGTTTTCCTTTAAGTTGCGCTCAGGGTGACACATTATAATGAATTAACTCACTCACTTGTTGTTGTACTACTAGTTTTAGTAGTAATTGTTAATAATGATAACTAGCAAATTATTCGATATATAATATATGCGTAAAAAATTTAATTGTTTTCGAAGTGCATACAGGCTGCAGCAACTTTTACGACACTATTTGTATATTGACTAAATTTGGGTTGGTTGTAGATATTTTGAAAATCTCAACTGGGTATTAATCATGAATCAAATGAAAAAAAGGTTGTCCAAATAGGCATGTTTGGGAAACATAATATTCATTCGAATACTACCTATGTACATATTTAAAAAAATGAGGTGCCAAGTTTTCTCCGGAGTAAACTTTTAAACTATAGTTTGATTTAACTTAAAAGATAGGATAGTCAATTACAATAAAAAAAATAAATAAAAATAATAAAAAAGATTTTTTCTAAACATAACACATGTTAAAAACTAAAAAAGATCTAGTAAAGAAGTGAAGCTCGGATGTAACCGAACATTTCATACTCTTGCAAATTGCAAGGACCGAGTAAGGGTAAATTCCTTCAGATGTTTGCAAAACTTTATATTAGACTATGGAAAATATTTCCCTGTTTTTTTCAATTTTTGTCAAGAGAATACACTGGTTTAAAAAAGTTACTCTTTCTTTAATACTTTTGAATTCATTAAGAATGACCGATAGATGTGGTATAAAGTTAACCGGAAGTTCGAACATTTTTATGTATTGTAAATGGGGGATGAGGGAAGTATCGACTTTATTTTAAACATTTTTGGCACAAGGGCATACTGTTATCAAAAAAATATTCTTCACCACAGATTGACCGATATGTTCGGTAAAAAAAAAACAGCCAGTCAACAGTCCTTGAAAAGTTATATTCCGATTTCAACAATTCGGCGTATCTGTGAAAAACCTTGAGGGCACTATTTTTGCAAAAATATTATTCTGATAACTTCATTGCTGTTTGATTTTACATTACACACCGAAATTGGTTCAAATCGATCAAATAGCTCCTTAGCTGTAAGATTTCTCTTAAATGTGGGCGGAGCCAAGCCCATTGTTCAATTTTTCTACCAGCTCATATAATCCCTACAATCTTGGTTGTAAAATTGAATGCTTGTGGCGCGTTTCTTCAGTGAGTTATTACACTTTTAGTAGTTCAATTAATATAGGGTGTGGGCGTGGTAATTATCTGATTTTACTCATTTTCACAGTGTATAAAGGAATGCTAAAAATATTCCTTCTCAGCAAATTTAATTTAATTTAATTGATTTAACTTCAGGGCTTTGGCAGATATATGTCTACATTAAACCAATTACGCTTCAAACTTTTCTAAACCACAAATGTCCCTGCCTAATGCAATACGTTGTACTACTTGTATCTTAGTGTGGAGCTTAATTATACAAGGTTACAGGTTTTCGATTAATAGCGTAACAACGCTCAATTACATCTGCAACACCAACCTTTTCATTATGTCCAAAAATATGTGTAAGAAGTTTCATTAAGATATCTCAGTTTTTACTTTACAGACAGTCACATTGGTTTCAACTCATCTTTTTATAGTGATCAGTTATATATATAAAACCCTATAGCTAAATTCATTCGTTTTAGGTGATACAAGCAACCGTTAGGTGAACAAAACTATTATACTTGCTGTAGCAACATGTTGCAAGAGTATAAAAATAATAATAATTATGGTTTTGAGTAAAATGACAAATGGAAAATTCATTATTTTTTCTATTGACAAACATTTGTACCAAATTTTTTCAAAATTAAACCTCAAGTACAATCGTGTTCACTTCTTTTCAAGTTATATTTTCACTGTATTGGATAGTTGACTATAATAGTATTTAATGTATACCATATATTATTCACAGCAATGCGCGGTTGGTTCTACTAGTAAGACTATTTTGAATGATTAAAAAATGACTTGCGCTAACCAACCGAAATAGGCGATGAAAATCATTACTAACTTCAATAAGATGACGCATCACGTGACATTGAGATTCAAACTATTCCGCTTCTTCAACAAAAATTCGCAGTATGTCTGATATCACAATGAGATGACATTGATCGGCTAACGAGGTCTACAGATTTGGCTACTCGTGACTTCCTTTTGTAGGTTTTTAAAAAGCAACGTTTATGCCAGGAATTCTCGGAACATTCCAGAGGTCGAAGAATTATGAAAAATATGTAGATAACTAGTTCATTTTTTTCATTGTATTCAGTAATGTTTATAATTTCATCATGTTCAATTTTCTATTTTATTATAAAAATTATCGTTCTCCAAATGCAACTTTTCGTATGCTTTTGCCATTTTATGGTCGTCCGTTTTATAATCGTCCACCTGTGCTCGCTATTCGTCGAATTGTTGAAAATTTCGAGCGTACATTTTCCTCTCGAAGCAACGAAAATATGGCTGCAGTTCAGGCAAGTGTTGCTGAAAATCGCAATTAGTCGATTCCAAGACGTTCGCAAGAATTGGAACTTTCTCAAACCACATCCTGGAGGATTTTGAGAAAGGATTTGAATGTCGTGAATTTGCTGATTTTGCCTTGGACCAACTTGAAAATGGTGACGATTTTTTTCAGAAAATCATCTTCTTTGATAGGGCTTAGTTTCATCTTAGTGGTGAGGTAAATAAAAAAAACGATCGATTCTGGTGCGAAGAAAATCAACAAATAATTTATGAACAACCATTATATTCACCTGAATTGACAGTTTGGTGTGTTTTTTTATCTGGTGGAATCATCTGTCTGTAATTCTTTATTATTATTTCGAGAAAAGTTTGAGACTCGATAGTTTCAAGAAATTGTGTCATTGAATGGCCTCCATGAAATTGTGATTTAACACTATTAAGCTACTTCTTGTTAGGTTATTTGAAGTCATTAGTCTTTAGCAAAAATCCAGACCTTAAGCTTTAGAAATCAATATTGATTTAGTGGAAAAAGTATTCGAATATTGGGTTCATCGAATTCGTTCCTGCGAAGGAACGTCTAAATGCTGAAGGCTGAAGGCCGTTTAAATGCTGTTATATTCAGAACTTAATTGTATCGATTGTACTTCATATTAAAAAAAAAGACATGTGAATTTCCTTAACAATTAGTGTGCTTTTTTTGAAAGCAAATCATATCACTTTTATTGGAAAACACCTTAATTTTAATGCAATATAAATACCTCAATAATTTCATACCAACATAATAAATGGCGTACCCTGTATACGTATAATTTTGAAAAGTCGTTTAAATACGGAGTAAGTACGCTCAGCAGATAAAAAGTTATCTCTAATTTATTTCTATTTTATTTTTAAGTCTAATAATATTTTTCTTACAATTAAACTCATAAAAAAATGTTTGCAATTTTAATAACATGATTCTCCTTATAAGTAGACAGCAATAGCGCATGTTTTGTGACTAATGAAATCTAAATAAAAAATTCAGCATGTAAAACGATTAGCAAAGTTCTGCTTCGCAGTTAAATGCTTAGATGCTTTCATATGCCGACTGAATTAACAATTAATTTTGAGGTGCATAGAAATTGAAATTTAATTAAGCAGAGCCAATAACAATAAAAAATTATGGGATAACAATTAAATACAAATGTTTTTACTTAAGCCTTTTACTGGGATGAATCTAGATAACGAGGTATTGAACAATATAATCATAAATCATTAATACATTTTGGGAATACCAACGACTGGAGGGTCCTTGACCGCTAGTAACCACGTGTGCATTCCTCTTACATGGATCCGGCTGCTAGATGACTGTAACATTTTTAAAAATTCGAATATAAATTTATACCTTGCGTAGTTGTACACATATGTTTTATAACATTTTTATACTCTCGCAACATGCTGCTATGGAGTATAATAGTTTTGTTCACATAACGGTTGTTTGTATCACCTAAAACTAATCAAGTTAGATATATGGTTATATATATACAAATGATCAGGATGAAGAGACGAGTGGAAATCCGGGTGACTGTCTGTCCGTCCGTGCAAGCTTGAGTAAAAATTGAGATATCTTCATGAAACTTGGTACACGTGTTTCTTGGTATAGTAAAACGGTTGGTATTGCAGATGGGCGTTATTGGACCACTGCCACGCCCACAAAACGCCATTAATCAAAAGCAAATACATTGCCATGACTAAGACCCACAATAAGACACAAAACTGTTATTTGGTATACAGAATCACATTAGAGAGGGGCATCCGAAGTTTAGAAATTTTAAAAAAGTGGGCGTGGCCCCGCCTCCTAATAGTTTTAATGTACGTACGTATCTCCGAAACCACTCACACTATAATAACAAAATTCACTGAGAACAAATGTTTTTAGCACCTCTATCGACAGTGTGAAAATCGGGTCAAAACCCTGCCCACTCCCCATATAACGGTTCTGTTAAAAACTACTGAAAGCGCAATAAATCAAGCACTAAACACGGCAGGGACATTAAATTGTATCTCTAAAATTGTATGAGATGAAATTAGTTAGCAGGCGTGGCCACGCCCACTTTTAGGTGAAAACCCATATCTTGGGATTTGCTTAACCGATTTCAACCAAATTCGCACATAATATTATTTTCATATTTCTATGTTATAGTGCGAAAATGGACGTAAAGCTTTGCGTGAATAATGCGTTTAAGGTATGCCAACGTGTGATCAAAAATTGTCTAATCCAAACCAAAACTGTTCAAGCTCCTAGATACTGAATATGTGGACCCCAGTGCCTATAGTTGACTTTTTACCGAAA